GTTTGAGGTGTGGACGCAATTTTCCGAGATTGCCGGCGGGTGCTAGGGGCACGCAGTTTGGGGATGTGTCAGGTGCTGTTTTTGGTTGCTGTTTGAGGTGCTGCTGCGTAGTGGTTCGTGGCTGGTGTATCATCATGATGTTGTCAACCACGTCATGATGCTGCTGGAATCACTGCGATGCTGCGTTATGGTTCGTGGGTGCGGTGGCGCCATGATGCTGTCAATATCAGGATGATGCTGAATTTCATTACGCTGTTGCAAGATGATTTGTGGCTGTGGTATCATCATTCGCCTGCCCCTACCATCACAATGATTCCGTTCGCATCATCATGCTACTGCCCGCGTCATCATGATGCTGTCGAACTCGAACGTCGTCTCTGCCTTTTTCTGCCGAACATGTAATGCTGCTGCGCTCAGTAGGACGTTGTCTGCGCGTTTATTTGGCGCACCATGCTAAGTTGCTGTGGTATCATCACGATGCTGTCAACATCATCATGATGCTGTCAACATCATCATGATGCCGTGGTGTGCTATTCGGGGTGATCTGGGGTCTATGCTGGTGTATTCTTCTTTTTTTTCTCCTCTCCTGCGCCTTTTTCCATCGCCGGGTTCTCCCCCCCTCCCAGAAAAGTTCGGGGATGATACAAAATCGCCCGCCACCACAATTTAAAAAAAAAAATAGCTTGCGCCCCATGAGCTCTCCTTTGTCGGTGTAAGCAGCAGGTGTCAGGCCACCGTTTTGACACGCCCATGATCTGGATATGGTGCTTTGGTTCGTTGATGTTGGCTTTCCCCAGCCACTCGCCGATTTGCTGGAAGTGCCGCTGGGCTGCAAGGATCCGGCCACTGAGTGCCAAGCGATTAAGCCCCTAATTTTGCTTACGATGGACGTCATGCCACCCTTGAAGCGCTGCATCCAGCGCAGCAGTACGAAATTGGTACCTGGTTGCGATGGTCACGACTTTTAGCCACACTCTGAGCGATGCCATATCCAACGACAAGCTTCGTGCCAGAACATGTCACGCTGCGTGCAACGAATCGGGTAGCTAGTTTGCGCAACAAGCACTTGGCTTTGAAGACCCGCGAAGCAGAGATGTTCTGCTCATTCAGGACGAAATGGGCTTGGTGCGCGGTAGAAAACATGATGTTGCATCTTTCCATGAAATCCCGAATTTTTGCTTGGTACTTTATTTGTTTGCCAGGCCGGCAGTGCGGAAAAGGAGCACGAGGCCATGAACTCAGCCGACGCAAGCTACCCACCAAATAGCCTTCCTGCAGCCTTCCGCATAAAGACGGTTTGGCTTTCAGCCTTGCGCTGCTCTGGGCCTCGCCTCCTTTTTTGTAACTAGCTCCACAGCATCTGACCAGCAGCCACGGGTAGGTGCTTGGATGGGAGTCGTTGCCAAAAGGGTTCCGACAGCTGCAGCCATCCTTTACCAACTGACAGCTCTGGCAGCGGACTGCTTTGTCACCCCCAACCACTTGTGCGGCCGTGCTCGGATTGCTGTGATTGCTCTGGTTCAGTTCATGCTCGTGAATTTCGTCGAACACCCCATCAATCAACTGATGCATCTTGGCAAACACGGATTGCGGCCCACAAGCGCCAGGCAAAAACAAATGCATCATCAAAGGACTTTGGCAAACGATCCACGTAATCCTTCGAAGTCACGCCCGTCGGCGAAGCCCTTCATAGGGTTACAAATCCACGCTGTATGATGGCTAAAGTTGGTCACTTATGCGCAAAACCACCGTTTAGTCATGCAACATGCACAGAAAGGTTGGCAGAAGAAGTCAGACAGAAGATTAGCATCATACCAGCTTGGGCCAAGCAGCGCACGATAACCCGCCCTCTCCCTGCTTCATCCTACCTGCACGCCAAAAGCTGACATACCCTGGCGTGTGCTACTGAGAAAGCCCGTTGAAGGCTCTTAGTCCACGTCAAACAGGACTGCGAGGGGCAAAGGTCCTCCTTGCGTCCTGTCAAGATCCAGACGCCAATTCTGTATTGCTGCGCTGGATGCAACCCTTTGAGGGCGTGCCTCCTATCGCAATGTAGCTGTCACAACTGCCACAACAGGACTTCAATATGGTGGTGAGCCGCTTTGCGCCCCCTGGTTTTGAACAAGCACCTTGCGAAAAGAACTGCAAGCCACTTGTGCTCTTGTTTCATCAGGAAGCGCTGCATAAAACTTACCACTGACGGCAGGACAGGTTTTCCAAGTCTGACATACTTTAGTTAACCATTGTTTCTCATGTTTTTTCTTTTCACACGCCTTTTTCTGAAAGGGGGCCCCCGGGCACCAGGGGTAATCACGCCAAAGCCGGCAAAGAGGTGGGTTCACACGGCAAAACCCCCCCACGCGGAAGGCTAGGCTAAGGGTGGGCCGAGAGCCGGCTGGCGAGCACCCTCAAGATCAGGGCCGGTGCGGTCCGCAAGCACGTCACTGAGAGCGGGCGCAGGGCCGTCCAGGCAAGACAAGCCACTGGCAGTAAAGGCCTGCATGGCAGCAGCGGTCAAGAAGCCAGACCAGCGGTGGACCAGGGCGGCTTGGTAGGCAAGACGCAAGGCCGCAGGGGTAGGTTCGCTCCTTCTGACGCCGGGCATCAAGTAAGGCCACGGGAGCGTGGAACGGCATCGCGCGTGGGGGGCGACACAATGGTCGTGGCGACTGCAAACTGGGCGCCGTTCCACAGGGGCAAGCCGTTAGCAATGACCTCAACGCGCCTGTCGCGTGCGCCGGCCTTGCGGCAAACCCGCGCAGCAGCGTACTCGAGAGGGCAGCCGCGACTGCGCAAGGCACCGGCTTCTGATTGAATTTATGGCAGCGAGCATGTCAGCTTTATTGACAGAACATTTGCCCGGAAAAATGTCAGAAAGCATGCCAGAGAACACGCCGGGAAATTGGTCAGAATAAATGTCAAAGAATTTGGCCAACACGCGTGTCCGAAGTTACATCGCAACCAACTGTTGATCCTGCGCCATGTGAGCTGTGTTGCCTGCCTGCCTGGCGCTCCCTGGACGCTAAATCCTGCACCACCTTCCCCGCCCTGAACGGCGTCCGATAGCAGCCTTGCTGGAGCGGCCACGCCACCCGCGCCGGGACATCCGGCTTCTTCACCCTCCCCCGAGTGGATGTTGCGTGCACAAAAAAATTGTTGCGTGCTGGATCTCAGCCCTGTCCTACGAATCGTGATGCTGAAGACTGCCCCGTTTGCATGTGCGCAGTTCCTCGTGCGGCCGCAGGGCCCGAGGTTCCATTCGTGTGGCCGTCGTGTGGCTTTCGTGTCTGGTTGCTCTTCGGTTGCTGAGGAGCGTTTTGCTTTCCAGTGTTCCGCGCACTCGGTCTGAGGCAGCCCCGTCGTACAACACTCGTTCTGTGCCTGTCGCTCCCAAGTCTGCGCCCCCCGCTGCCCTCGTCTGTCACCCTTGTTTTGCTGCCAGTGTAGCCTTAAAACAGCGGTGGACTTGTCTTCCCGCCACATGGCATGGAATGCCCGTCTTCAACTGAGGGTGGGACCCAGAGTGGGTGCCTGCGGTGTAGCGAGCACTTGACTGGCCATCGCCTTCTGCTCCAGAACGTGCCGGTCCGTGTGCTTGCTGTTGATGTTGCTTACGGTGAACGGGGTTGGGCGTGTTGTCATGGCCATCCCCCTCTTGTCCTGCCCTGTCAGCCAGTCCCGTTGCCGTTGGGGACGGGCGATGTTGATATGGCCACACCCGCGGACCATCGCCAAGGCCAGCCATGCAGGGGACCCCAGTTCCCACTCCCGCTGCCACCGCTGCCGCCTCCGCAGCTCCAGCGCAGCCAGCGCCAGGTGAGCCAGCGGCTGCGACTGAGCAGCAGCAGCAACAACTGCCACAACCACGGCAATAGCTGCCGCTACCACGGCAACAGCAGCCGCAACAGCGGCGGCGTCAGCACCAGCACCCGCAGCACCGGCGACCACAGTCCTTCCAGCAGCCGCGCGGCGGGCACCAGCAGCAGCCGCGCCAGCAGTGCCAGCAGCGCTCGCTTCCGCAGAGGCCGTTCCCACAGCCAATGGCTACAGCCCTCGGCCCGACGAAGGGCAGCCCGTGTCAACCGCCAGCGGCACGCCCCGAAGGCCGTGGCACCGGCTTCACAGCAGACCCGGGCGGTGGCGCGCTCAAGGGGCCCGGCCCGCAATCGCAGAGCGCCAGACCGAAGGCAAGCAGAGCGATGGTCACCGAGCTCGTCAAGAGCTCTCCCGCACGAACACGAAGCAGACCCAAAAGGCAAGGGGAGCCGCAGGCGCCGCAGGGGCTCGAGCGACAACTCTGGGAAAGTAGGGAGATGTGGGAAGCAAAGGGGCTGGACTGGGACAAAAGCAGGGCTCACGAAGGGGGCGCAAGCTGGCGCGCGAGCGCAAGGGCGCACACGAGGCGGCACCACAGCTTGGTCCGGCCCTCTGAGGGGTCCTCGTCAAGGACAGGCTCAGCGGGGCTCTCAAAGCAGCAATGGGCGCAGCAGCTTTCACCATCTCTTGCCTTCTGACACGCAAGTGCTGGCAAACATTCGGTGCGACGCTAGTTTGCACTTACAAATGAAAGCTTGTATGAAGCAGGTGGCTTGCAGAAGCGCTTGCTGTTGTAAGCCATGTGGAAGTTGTAGCCGGTGCCACAAAATGCTTAGTTCACAGCATCAAAAAGCGAGTGGCGGTGCCAACTTCGTCGTCTCGCCATTCGGCAGCAGCCAAACTGTTGAGGGCGGCCTTGCGGAGATGCTGCATGCGGGTTTCCTGGCATGCCCAATGCCAACCGAGGGTGGAAAAGCATAAAGGCAGGCCAGGTGTTGGCAGTCACACCAGGCCAAAGGCGTGTTCGACGGAGAGGGACAAGAACGGAAGCAGGTGCTTTGTGAACAGTGGAAGCTGAATCGCGATTTCGTCGCAAGTCGCAGACTGCGCATGTTATCAATTGCAAGTACAAGTGTTCTTGATCATCCATAAATTCGCTTGATGCAAGAAGTCGCTCTTTTTCACCCACGCCCAACAAGCAACTTGCCAGGCATGCAAGCCTTGGCTTGGCCTGCAAGCAGCTCCCTACCGTCAGATTCAGGATCATCCGATGTCTTCAATGTCCTTGAGCAGCTCGTCCTGGCCAATCGTTGCCAAATTTCATCAAGTTTCACCAACTTGGAAATGCCGCGCAGGGAATCCAGGAAGACCTCTGCACAGGGTCCCAGCCTCATCTTCGGGCGCATTGCTGTCCAGCAGCATTTGCGCATCCAACGTAAGGACGGGTGCATTGGCCTCTGCAGCTCTGCTTGAGCTCAGACACGTGAAAAGAATTGTTTTTGTTTTCTTCCGGTTTCCTGTCTGAAGCGATTTGTCCCCTATTTCGACCCCCCCGCCCACCCCCGCCCCCCATGGAGCAAATGACTTTCCAAGCTGCGCGAAACACACAATTCGGCCTGGCATGCAAAAGTCGAGTGCTGGCAAGCCGCAGGCGTCACATCAGGAATTGCAGCTGCTGCATCAGTAATGACAGGTGCTGCCGCCGGAGAGGAATCGTCCTTCGAGGAACACAGCATGCAAGTGTGCAGCTGGACTCAACTGTTTCAAAACCAATGAGGGCACTTCCAGAAACCAACGTCATCAAAGAATGCAACATGTGGCACCTTTCCAGATTGACTGCTCACTTGCCTCTCCCCCGAACGGCATCGGCTCAACCCGAAAGGCACCTCCACGCTCTCCAAGGCGAGCTCCTGCAAGCATCGTGGCCGCCAAATGCTTTGCCTTCTGGACTCTCTGCGAGGGTAGGGAAACCCTCCAACCATCGTGTACCAACCTCTTCCCCCAATATAGCCACAATAGTGTGGGTGATGGGTTCAGGGAAGCCTACTCAGCCAATATTCAGTTCAGATCAGGGTCCGACTTGGGTCTCAGTCTTGCCCCCTTGAAACAAGGCCCTTGACCTTGGACAGCCAAATCAGCCGAAACTCTTGCCATCACGCAAAGGTGGCATGGAGCTCGCTCCGTGATGGGCGCAGCACGGTCATCTTCATCGAAGCGGCGCATCAGCTCCTGACAAGATTGCCCTTTCTGGACAATGAGTCCAGCCTGAACAGCAAATATGGGTATGGGACAAATTGGCGGGGAGGACACCTTGGTGGGGACACTCTGAATGTTCCTTGATTGATATTCATAGCCGATATACAGCGGGTGATGAAACACGGCATCTGCTTAGGAGCCCCAAGGCCTTGCGCAAAGGACTCATGCAGCCTGCCGCGCTCCTCGAAATCTGCGTCAAATTGAGGCTCCGCTATGCCTGCCAATTGGTGGATCTGGTTCGCTGCAATGGACAAGAGCACGGCAAACCCTTGCAATTGGTAGCAATGCGACGTTTCCCATCAACCCAGCAAATAAATGTCGTTTCAGCTGTCTAGCTGCCTGCGCCGTCTGTGGCTTCGGCCGCCAGGGGCGCAAGCGCTTTGGCAAAGAGCTGTTCCTATCACACAATGAGACGCCAAGGGTCCAGTACGTGCGTTCGTTTGGCCTGTTGGATGCCTAGTGAAGGCTGGCTGAAGATCGCCAGCCAAATGAACTGCTAGGCGGGACTACCCCGTAGCCCGCCTCCATCATGGCATCGTCCTCCACCGTCCTCCGCCGGGCGGCTCCCTGCAGCTCAAGTTTTGACACAGATTTTGGAAGAAAGAGCCTTGCAATTGCTTGAGCCCCGTCTGCCCTCCGAGTGAAACCAATCAGGGCCAGGCTGCGGAGCTATCTCACAAAGGGTTGCATCTGTCTAAACATTCATCGCCTTGAAGCTTCTGTCGCGAGGGAGTGTTAATCCATCACGAACTCTCCATCATATCCCCACCTCATCGAAGTCCAAAAGCCTGGGCACAGCCAATGCAGACACTTGGCAAGGGTATCCGGACCGAGCCGAATTACCCAAGAGCTTGCGGAAGAATGTGACAACCCGCGACCCAGATTGCAACCTAGGAACGGGTTGTTGTCCTCGGTCACCGGTGGGGCCGCCGCGGCTGGCACGCCTGTCGTAAAAAATAGCACGGACAAATGCCGGCTGAAAAACAATAAAGCTCCACCCCCAGATCTTTCAGAATCTAGCAGGATTGCACAGAGCTCGGCAGACATGCCTTTGGACCTTTCAGGCCATGGCCCAGGCCTCCAGGCACCGGAGGAGACTTGGGTCTGGCCAATTCGATGCCTCGCGCCTCAGTCCATCTGCTTAGGTCCAACACGCTGGCGCCTCCCGGCGCCTCGTTGGCAGCGGCGCGGTCGTCCACCACCTGCCGGCGTCCGCCACCTGCACATTTGCAAGCTCTGTGTTGCTTTCTTGACGCCTGACATCTCCATCTACCAAGTAAGCCTGGCTCTGAAAACTATCTGTCTCCATCCGTCTCTCACAAAGCAACTGGCCTTCAGCCTCAGTCTTGGCCTTCTGCGGTGCTGCCGCGCCTGGAAACAAATTCTCAACAACTCTTGAGGGACTTGGGCTCCTTGCGCCCCGCCTCGCAGCTCGCCGCTGCCGCTCAGAGCGCGCATGCCCCAGCAGTGGGCAGCCAAAAGGCCAGCATAAACGGCCTGGATGGCGAACGCTCTCGCTTGAGTTCGGCAAAACGTGCACGAGGGATAGTTGTGCACAGCGTGCCTGACGCTCGACAGACCACGCAGCCAGCTCACCTCGAGGCGGTTGTTTTCTTCACTTCGCTGGCAGCCTTCCGCAACCACGGGGGCCAGACCGTAGATGAGGCCACCGGTGATGGAAGCTGCGAGGCCTGACAGGACCTGAGGCCAAAGGAGTGATGCCGGCCATGCGGCGACTACGGTGCACAACCTGGGATCCTGGCACCATAGGCTGCAAGAACACTGAGGGTGTCATGCACCTCGAGAGCTTTCCTCAACGGCGAGGCAGCAGCGCTGCGCACCTGGGACCACGACCACTGTGAGCTGAGCCAAATATGTACATCTGAGTCAAGGACTGCCAAAATAAGCAGGGAGAGAACGGGAAAAGCCGCCAAATGCTCCAACCTGTTGCAAAAGATCAGTGGTGCTGATTCAAGGCTACTCCAAAACTGAGGTGAGAGCTTTGTCGGAGCTGTCAGCAGGCTGGCTCCAACAAGTGCAACAGCCTCTACCAAGCTGGCTCAACAGCCCGCAGAAGCTACATGTGCAAGCACATTCAAGCAAGGGGCCCAGTCTGCAACAGGGCAAACGACTGAGCGACTATTGCGCCCACAATCCGTCAACCACTTGATTGCCAAGGGTTGCTGGCTGATCCGCCTTTAAATTCACTGCGAGATGGTCATGGCTGCCGCCGATCTAGTCAGGCATGCCCAGGCTCAGCATCTAAGGCTGGAGAGTGTGCTTTTGTCGAGGCCTGACTGTTGCCCGACCTGTGTGTTGTCTCACTGTTGGCGGGGAGCAACCAGCATCCAGGCAAAACTGTTCCACGCCTTCAGAAGCATCGCGGACACGCCAAAGTTCAAGGCGGACGGCAGGCAGCTCAGGAAGGCACCATTCAGACCTGCTGAGTTGCGCAGTGCATTGACTCACACATGCCACAAAGTCGCTGCTCAGACATTCCCATGCGTGTGTCACATGTCTGGCGTCCCTTTGGCTGGAATTTCTGAGAAGCAAATGTCAAAGGGAGAGAGAAGAGGAGCAGAGAGGAGCAGAGACAGAGGCCTTGGAAGCCGCTGCCGAGGCAGCACAGGATGCCCAGCAGAAGCAGCACCACCGCATACCCGCAGGTCCTGCCACTAGGCGGGAAAGCTATGACAACGAAGGAGGCATATCCGAAGTGAGCCAAATGAAGCCAAACGGACAAACACAAAAAAAAAGAGCCCAAGCTCAGGCATCGAATTCCACGCATGCGGCCACTTCGCCTTTCAAGGGCGCCGGCTCCTGGGCGCCAGCAGGACGCTTGGCAGCCCCTCCACCCGGAACTCTTCGGTTTCGCCCAGGCAGGGCAGGCCCCAGGCGGCCAACGCCATGAGGCAGGCGACCACCTGGACACGAAATCGGGCCGATGTCGCCCGAAAGATTCGATGAGAATTGATCAGAACCGCTTCAGCTTTGAAGAAGGGTCAAAAAACCTTTCCTGGTGCCGGAGGGGGGGGGCTGTTCGGCATCCTCACCAAGCAGGAGCGGCATCTGGACATCTGAGAAACACCTAATCGGCTGCCTCGTTCATCTTCAGCACTTTGGCTCTTTTGGACTCCTGACACGGGAATGGCCAGAAAAATGTGAGCATGAACACGCAAGCCAGTTTCCTTCCAAAAGTAGAGACAAACGAGGCACGAGGCGTTCATTGGATACACCTGCAATATGACAGGTTGAGGCAAACTCCGCAAGACCTGGTCACTAGCTTAACACGCTAGGCTGAAGCAAAAGCACTATGTTCGTTGCCTGCGTCAGGGGCAAGAGTCTAAGCACTATCAATTCAGCTACCTCAGCTGGACGAGGTAATGCAGAGGCAATTACTAAACACACACCGAGTCAACGCACACCAAGCCAGGCTCTTGGCCAAGCCAACCAGCAGCAAGCGGCGAGCGCCACGCTCTGTGACCCTGCAAGCGCACAACGTTCCACTCAAAAAAACTTAGTAGACGAAGGAAAGCAAGTAGATATGAGTTATGATTGGTCCTCACTTACGCAAGAGACGTTGTCTTGGCTCTGCGGCTTGCGGGGGCTCAAATCAGCGCTCGCCTGTGGAAAGGTGCTGCCATGGGCTTCTTTGCGAAGCGGATATACCTGCAAATGAAAGTATTCGAGAAAAAAATCTAATGTGATGAACTGTCATGGCTTCATCAAACGCACGCCGAGCAGGAGAGCACTGCAACATTGAAGCCGCAAAAACGCACGGGAGGCTGAGAAACCTTGGCCAAGATGCAGTATGGACAACAAGCCAAGCAGCATCTCATCTTCAATTATGTCAAGCTTTGCAGGGGCGTGCCATTTTCAGCCCCGCTCGGCGAGACAGTCTCTGCTCTGCAGACTCTGCAGGCTGGAAGGCACCACACCCAATTGCTTCTCAGCACTCATAATTAGACAAGAGCATCAAAGTCACCCTCGACAATAGGCGCACATGTTGCATCCTTGTCGAGCTACGTAAAGCAGATCCTTGACACTCTTGTGGCGCAGGATCACTGCCGAAAGCCAGACGTCAGCCATAATGCAAACCGAGAAAAGCAAATCATCCCTGCTTGCATTGAGCTTGCAAGGTCGGCCTCCCACTTGACGATACAGGTTGACCACTGAGCACCCCTTCCAAATATAAATCATTACTACCAAAACGAGCAAAGCCAAACGCGGCCAATACCATTGGGCGTCTAGCATGGGCACCTGGGGCAACCAATGTACAGGAACTCCGCAACAGAAGTTGCTTGAGGCTCCATCCTCCCCAGAGTTATGTTGGCAGGCACAGGTAGGAAACCGGAAGCCAAGAAAGCAGCGAAGACCCGCAGCAAGCATCGCAGCTGTCCCTGCCCAAATCCAGGTGTCTTGGAAGTGCAGCACGGAAATAATCTGGTGGAGTGGCAGGTGCTTCAAGAACTCCGTACCATGGAGAATGGAACCATATGCCCAAATGCTGAGGATGATCATCGCAACATACTGCGTCACATCACTCAGCGTCTTTCCACAAGCGTGCGCAACGGTGTGCTTTCCCGACAAGCAATTTCGGAGTTCCGTGCGTCTCCACACACATGTGCAAAAAAACATCCAGCCGCCAATGGCTGAGATCCCAGCCAGAACCACGCCTTCCCCCCATGAAGACACGCAAATGAGAGCAAGCAGGCTGGCAGCAGCCGAGAGAGTCTCCAATCCTTTCAAAAGCAGCTTCACCCACCTGGGCCAAAGCTGCGCCTGCATGGGGCACTCACCAAGCAGCGGCACTATGTTGATTTGCGGTGCAACCACTTGCGACAACTCTTCTGGCACAAAGCTGATAGGCCACAACGATAGCATCTGCAGGCTTGAGGTGATTGAAGCAGAAAGCAAAAGCATGGTAGCACGAGCCCCGTATGTGGCAGCTTGCTGCAATTCACTTCGCTCCCTGTTCTTGAGGTTCTTCGCCTTCTGCTCATCGTCATGAGCCCTGCTGAGAGAATCCGATGCAGTGTCCACCTCTCTTTCTGACTGCGACTCTAGCCGGTCTTTTTGCTGGGTGAGTTTTTGGCTCTGCTTTTCATATTTCACAGCTTCCTGCTGCGCATGCTCTGAGTGCAAGTGATTTTTTGCTCTGTCCTCCGTGGCCTGTTCCATGCGCTTTTTGAGTTGCGCAGCCTCAGCTTTGAGTCTCAAAGCTTTTGCTCTTTCGCTGGCTGCCTTCCGCACCTTGCGCACACCAAGAGCTTCAGACCTTGTGGCATCAGCCTGCAAGGCCAAAGCTGCTCCCCCGCCAACAACATCTGCAACTACATCCCACCCTGGAATCCATTCTACCGTTGCGGTCTCCTCCACATCGGCCTCTGTCTCTGCCTCGGCCCTTGCTGCCTCTCTCTTATACCTGGCTGCTGCTACAGCATCTGCAGAAGCTTTACTCTCCATCGCCGCCCCAGCAGCAACTGCCACCGCTGCACTCTTTTGCAAGAATTTTGCATGCTCATCACTCTGCTGAGCATCACGGTCCAAGCGCTTTTGCTTCTTTCGCTCTTTGCTTGCTGCGTCTGCGGCTTGCTTGGCCCTTTCTTCATCAGCTTTAGCCATGCTCTGAAATTTGTCCGATGCCTGCCGCTTCTTCCTTGCAGCATGCGTTTCCTTCTGGGCAGCAGCCTGATCGTCCTTGGCCTGGGACTGATGTTCCTCTGCCTCCTTTGTTTTCTCAGCCGCCTCTTTCGTCAACTGCTTGGCTTGGGCTGCCTGCTTCTTGGCCCGCTCCGCATTATTCTGGCCCTTCTTCTTCAGCTCCTGGCTGGACTGTGAGAATTGTACCAAAGCCGCCAAGTGGATGGCAAGGATCAGAAGTAGCATGAGCTTCACGAAGGAGAACTTGTGAGCCCCCTTCCAAATAGGCTTGGTGCGTTCTGTGAGTTGACCCAATTGGCGAGCAAAGTCCATGGCTTCGCGCAGCTGTTGAATCGGGTCCATGCTGATGCACAAGCAATGCAGGTGAGTTCTGGAACACGGCTCACGGCTCGATGGCTAGAGGCGTCTTGAACCACATGGTCCCGGAAGCAAAAGCGCAGGTGTCCATGACAATCATAGATCTAATATATTTAATCATAGCTTAAGTGCTATGAGTCATGAGTCAGAAGGCTGAGACTCCAGCCGCAAATCCATCGACATTCCGCGGCCCTGGGCTCCTTTGCGCCCAGTCGCATGGCGGTCAGTTCTGGTTCCTGTCTAGCGCTCTCAACTGAGACGGGAGTTGCCTTCACACACCTGAATGCACAACGGGCTCTAGTGTCTATGTGTATGCAAACTCATTCTGAGCCAAAGGCTGGAAGCAATGATAGCGCTTTCATGTCATCTCGTGCTCTTTGTGTTCTCTTATAGATTCCACTCATCGAAGCATGCCCCCAAATCGGACTACGTGCCAATCCAAGATCTGGCTGTGTGTCGCAAGCTTCAAACAGCAAATGCTGACAGCTTCCTGCTCCATTTCCTTGCCTATGCTTACTCAAGTCTTTGGTGGTGGCTTGGCAAAACGTTTCCATCATGCCAGTGGAAGCAGCCGAGCGAAGATTCCTAGTGCGAGGTCAAAGCGCACCCGCAAAGCATTGTGCTTCGCACCAGGCGGCCGACCAGCTAGCTACATGCCTCAAATGAAGAGCGCGTTGCTGAACGACCTGCCAACAATGTCATCAAGGCGGGTTGACATCAGGCGACATGAGCAAGGCTATCAATCTTTACATGGCCACCCATGGACGCCATGACGATTTGATCCCAAGCGTGCATTGCAATTCTTGCGGCCTGCAAGGCAGGACACCTAAAATACAGGCGCTTGCAGCGCGCATCAATCAATCAGCCCATCCAGCCGCGGTTGGCTGGCCATCTGGCTGACTCAAACCCCGAATCCCGACCAGGACAAATGGATCCAAACAGGGAGCCAGGTGTGCGAGTGCGTCGGTTCAGCGTCTGCACACCCCTTAATCCCCCGGGCGGATGTGCCGGAAATTGTGATCTGTGACGATTCTCATTTGAGATCTGCCAGGTGTGTTTGTTGTACGCCTTGTCCGGGGGTCTGTTGGGCAAAGCCTGAGAGAGCTCATCTTCGAAGGGTCGCTTTTGCGGCAGCAGCGCCGGCCACTGCGCCTCGCACTGTGATGGACAGCTGTGGTGCGACGCAAGCTGCGCGACAAGCTGCGGAGTGGCTTCCCCTTCCATCCAATCAGGAAACTGCAATTGTTTCTCTTCCCTGGGCTCCTGCCCATGAAAGGCGGAGGCGGAGCGCATTCTGGTCGGTGCCATGATACGATCAGGCGGAGTAAGCAGCTCCTCTGCCCGGTATGCCGGTGCTGGCTTCTGCTGTGGCGTCTGGACTTCTTGGTCGGAGTCCGGGTCTGGCCGTCGGACTTGAACAAGGTGCTCCGCTCTGTGAGATGGACCAGGGCGCACCGCGGGTTGATGCACCAGAGCACCTTCCAAACATGGCTCGCACTAAGCACAAGCAGACAACGCAAGGCAACGCCCATCCCCCGCGCTCAGCTCTCCAAATCTCACAACTCGCATGGGCCCCGCCTGGGGCACGGCCCAATCCTTCGGCCCAGTGCGCCGTCCGCTCTGTCCGCACTGGCGCCAGCACCGGCGCCTCGACCTCCGGCGCCTCGACCTCCGCGCGCTCCGCGCGCTCTGCCAGGAGACGCTCTGCGAGGGCCGCGTTGAGCCCTGGGCGCAGCGCCAGGCGCGGCAACTCCTCGGGCTCGCTCTCCTCGCTTCGCGCTGGGCAGTGAAACATGTCCACCCACGCAAATCTGCAGCACCCAAGCCTATTAGATTCAAGACAGCTCCTTGTTTTTCTTGAAGGGTGGGATCTTGCAGTTGATGCTGGGGGACTTGATAGACTTCATAGAACTTCATAGACGTCATAGACATCATAGAATCACGTGCACGCTCCCCCGTCCTTGTAATCACTTCCAAGTCCACGTCCAGCAGCACAAGTGGCTTCTATCTGCTTTGCCAAGAGCTGCACCAAATCCCGAACGTGCACAGAACCTTGCTGGATCGAAAACACGTTTGTTCTTTGTGAAAATGAGGCCCACTCCTGATAGAATTGCCTCTCTATCCTGAATAGCAAATGTATGTTTCTACAATTGTCAGACTTTGATTTGAAAAGTCACCTCGCGGGGGGAGGGCATTCAGCATGGCCAGGGCGGTTCTTTGGCAATAGCAAGCCAAGTCCAAGCCTAGCGGCTGGCGCGCAGCGCCCTATCCGAATGCTGCATTCGAAGTGCTCCAAGGAGGTCCTCACATGCCCTCTTGTCTTGCGCGCTCTCCGACTCCAGCACCTGTCAAATGCCGGCATGCTGGACTGGGCTGGGATCAACTCAGGCAGAAGCCTTTCCTGACCTGGGAAACAAAGGGGCCTGTTGAATGATGAAAATCAGGAGCAACATGAGAACCCTGAGTTCGTCCGCTTGACTCGCGGAATGAACGAAGGGGAGCCCGCGTTGATAGCTGAGGATGGCGCTATCAGCAGCAGCACCTCTTCAAAGGCGAGAAGAGACCGCTGGATGCGGTCCTTGGAATTCGGACACACGGTTCCTGGTCCAACAACTCTGAACGCAGCGTCGCATCACAGTCACCACCAATCATGAAATATACATGGCAAAGTGCGGAATCCCTTCTCCAAGTCTTGTTGCAAAAGCAAATCAAACATTTGGATCATGCTTGACTCCGCTTTGACACCACCGGTAGTTCCGCCCGCTCAGCACATCGTTGCGCCTGACGAACATCTGCCAGTACCAACATCAACTCCCAGCGCCCGGAACCCATGATAACGGATATGGGTCAAAACGGGGACCGCAGGTTTTAGTTCTTGTTTCCATTTGCCAGGGTTCCATTTTGGGCACCTATTTTTGACCCACTGCCATACAATAAATGGCTCCCTCCAGGCTTAGCACATTCTGCCGAGGGGCACAGAGGTCCTGCTCCTGGCCCCGCAGCAGATGTGCGCTGCGCAGGAAGCAGCAGCTGCGGGGGCCCAGCAGCAGGTCCGGCGAGCTCGCAGCCAGCACCTCGCGCTCCAGGACCCGCAGGCCCTGCGCCTGTGCCACAACCGGAAGGGGTCAGCTTTTGAAGACATCCGCTAAAAAAGGTGGGCTTAAGGTCGCCCCTCATGTCATAAGCAACACCTAACTGTCTAATTGTCAGTTGCTCAAATGCGGGGCATTTGATTGCACTCACACGTCCACCAACCAACCATTTCGACTGAGTGAAATACGGCCAAGGTTTGCTTGCTTCTGCTTGTTCAATGAAAACTACTTGGGGCATACTGCCTTCAAGCGAAGTACTTGCAAACTGAGTTGAGGCCTCAAGCTCGCGCAGCAAGTCTTGCGCGTGCAGCAGGTGTGCTCCAACCATCCTCAGCAATATGTTCAAGATTTGCTGACGACTGGCCTTGACAGTCAATGCACATATTGTGTTTGTTTATGCAGTGGAGTTGCAGAACCTTCCCTTGGAGCATGCGCAACAGGACAAAAAGATCTCTATTTCTCTGGGACGGCGCTGCCAAGGTGCAGTGTCGGCCTATCCTCGGGCATCGCGGGGTCGGCTCCGGGAACGGAGCTGGGAGCTGGGACGTCTTCCAGTGCTCGATCTGGGTCAAGCGAGCATTGGCCAAATTGCAAACCGCAAAGAACGTCACAAGGCCACTGATCTCCAGACACGCTAAGGGAGGACGCTGCAACAATGCAAGACCAGGGGGTCGGAAAAGATGGAAACACTGGTAGGCTTGGAGCGCGTCATTTTGCTTTGGAGCAAAATGAACCGACAATCGCATTGTACCGGACTCTTGCCAATTGAAATGCAACAAAACTTGAGTAGGATCAAATGGACTGCGGAAGCTTCTCACAGCTTGTCAGTTCAATCTGAGCACTGAGAAAAAACTGACATCATCTCAACATGCTTCAGAAGATGGCATAGACAGTGAGAGAAGCACCGAGTGCAGTCAAGCTTCCCTGATCCGTGGCAAGTGCAGCTTCTTCTGCATGTGGCTCCAGGCGGAAGTGGACGAGCATCTGCGCGGTCTCCATCGCAAGGCTCTGGTATGCCACCTGATGTTGCAAAAAGTCCTCGTTGCTTTTAGAGTTACTTGCTTGGGGTTGTTGTCCCGGTTCTTGTTGCTTAACTCAGTTAACTCCTTATCGTTCTGCAGGGTCTTGTGCTTTCTGCACTTTCAACCTCAACATCGCGGCCTTTCAGTACAAGTGTAGCACACAAAGTATGTTTTACTTTGGCAGCTTCAGCTCAAAAATTGCAACTGTTCATGCGCGAAGTCCACTTTGGCAGCTCCAGCTCGAAAGTCTCAACGTTTCCGCACAAGTGCGTGCACGAAGTACGCTTTGACAGCAAAAAGCATTTTATGTGCAAGACGTTATCACTTTTGTTGTCGTGTTGTTCTCGTTGTTTGCCAACTACCAAGTCTGGCCTGTTGGCTGCCCAACAATATTGTTTCGATTCTTGTTTTGAGCTGACAAACGAACGCTTGTTTTATCGTTTATGTTTTTAACCCAGTATCGTTTTGCAGTGAGACATGCCAGTTTTGGACGCAAGGGACCTCTGAATGCTGCGTGTTTTTACAACCTCGCCTGAGCTGCAATTAGGCTCCGGTCCAGGCCTGCACGTGTTCGGGTTTTTTCACCCTATCCACTGGTTCTTAATCGGCTGACAATGCAAAGCCGCATTCCGAAAAGGGGAGACTTTGTTTTCATATCGGCATGTAGCCCGCCCTTTTTGCATCAGCCCACAGGTTTCTGGGGGCAGCACCACCAGGCTCTGCTTCAGCAGCCGCCGCACCTCCCAAGCTGCAACGATCTCGCTGGATTGCCTGCGACGCGGCCGCGGTTTCCGCCAAACAAAGAAGTTGCCTACGGAACACCTTGCCCGGCAAAAAAGGGTTCCAGTCAGGGCATGAACGAGCAAACAAACAAACAAACAAGCAAACAAACAAACAAACAAATAAACCAACAAACAAATAAACAAACAAACAAACAAACAAAGCAACAAGCGAGCAAGCAAGCAAGCAAGCAAGCAAGCAAGCAAGCAAGCAAGCAAGCAAGCAAGCAAGCAAGCAACCAAGCAAGCAAGCAAGCAAGCAAGCAAGCAAGCAAACAAGCACAAACAACAAAAAGAAGAAGCCAACCGCATCTAGGACTCGTGCACAGACACCACACACGTCAAGTGCCGTTAAGTGGCTGTGCCGGAGCAGCAGCCTCCGCTTGGAACTCCAGGGCACTCTCGTGGACCAACGCTGTCGCGCAGCTCTGAAGCAGCTGCTCGCACCGAGTCGGCGCCGTCAGCGCCGCCACCGCCACCACCTCGGCCCTCCGCGCCACCTCACGCGCAAAGGTGGCGCCCGGCACTTTGCGGTCGATGCTTTTGCTCTCCTGTTTCACCAACACCCCTCAAGCGCATTCCTCACCGATCACCCTTGCCGGAGCCTTGCCTTGCCACTGGTGTCGGCACCAATGATCACAGCAATCGCGTCCAGCAGTCGCTGAGATGCAAAGACAACCACCAGCCGCTGGCCCTTGTCTATGGCTTTCTTGCGAAGTGCCTGGAATGCAAGCAAAGCGAGCCTGCTTGAAGACCAACGCTAAGTTTCTAGGCTCCTTGTGGGTGATCGCGCAAAAATCACCATCATGCATGGTCTGAAATAGCGGCCGAGACAACTCACATTTCACCGGTGCCATGTTGGCACGCTGCACTCACCCGGCCTTCAGGGCCTCGACGCGGGGTGCCTCCAGACCCCTCAGGCCAGGCGCCGTCACAAGGAAGTTGGGGCAGCCTGCACTCGGTCCATTGGCGCCGATTTTGTGACTTGCCGAACGGCCAGCCGCAAAGCCGCTCAATAAATTACCCCGCATTCGTTTGAACATGTGAAATGAAACTCCAGCATTTGCCTTTTCTGCCCAAGGCTTCCTTAAAAACAGCCATGCCTCACAGCGTACAGCGTCTGTGACAACTGCAGGCCTGGACATTTCACGAAGTCGCAGAGATCCTTCACCTTCAGCAAAGATCTCGTCGCCTGGCTAAAACATCGTAGTGCCATCTGCCAGGCTTTACATCGGCACTAAGGAACCTCCATTGCCAGAAATTTTGAGAAGCGCTGAGTTCAGCGTCTCCTCCTATTCGGAGTGTTTCAAAGGGTGGGGCCATGAGGCCATCGCCGCGCGCCTCCGATCCGGCGCCCGCCAGCGCCGAGCGCAGCACTTCGTGGCAGGTCAGCAAAGCGCTCTTCACCAAAGGCGTCTGCCCAAGGAGCTTCATGGGTGCCTGACACGGAGCCTTGGGGCAACGAGCCAAACACAGTGTGCCGCATTTGATCTTAGCGACTCTGGTAAGTGCATCAAACGGCCAAACTCTGCGAGTCTCTCGGTTGACTCGAATCGACAAATTGTGAGTTCCAGATTTTGGGCTGTTGAGCGATTGGATTCTTCCACCTGTGCCTAGCGTTTTCACGTCAGCTAAGCTCGGCACCACCAGTGCCAGGGCGCAGTGGAGCGCTTGGAGTAGGCCGCTGGCTTTCAACTCCTGCCGCAGCAGCACCAGTACCTCAATGCGCCAAAACACAAGCAACTACACAAGTGGATATGACATGTCTTTGTTGAGGCGTTCAAATGCACACCTCCAGGAAACCAGGCGTTTTGCAGCTGCCCGAATCCCTAGGAACGGACCCAATCTGAGACGTACCACACCGAGGCCCTGGCGCGCAGGTTGTACAGCAGGCGATAAAGGTCGCAGTCCAGGCCGCGCTCCCCAGCCTTCCAGAAAGCTCAACAAGTGGGCGGGTACTGGTTGGAACCCCTTTAGCCTGTTTTGGGTCATGGAAACCAACATATCCAGTGTTTGGAGGGGTCTCCAGCTTTGATACATGGCTTTTACAAATCCCGGACAGTTGCTTGTGCAATCCTTGATCTGGGTTTGTCTCAACCCCAGAAGGGCCGGTTTCCTGCTGCCCTTAAACCAACCACTAGGGGCTTCCCAAAACAAGAAAGACCCATTGCATCCATCACGACCAGTGGCGCCTTTTCCTCCCTCTCCTCGTGCATATTCAGCAGACGCTGCAGCTCTGTCATGTCCGGCAGCTCCTCCTGAACGCCTCGGAGTCAATCAAAACATGGCTTTGAAAGAGTCCACCCAAACCTGTGATAAAGTTATGTGCGACGCCTTCACTTACCCGGGCTCGGGTTTTGATCCTGGCTGGGTTGCAATCCTCACCGAGTTGTGGCCATGGTTTCTTCACAGGAACCCTGGCAATGGTTGTCTATCTTCCCTGTTCAAAGGGGTTGATATGACCCTTCCCATGTTCCATCAACTCCAAAAAAACAAGCCATTGACCGTGGCACACAGACCCAGTCGGCCAGTCAACCTGCCCAAACCACCCCAAGGCCTGCCAAGGGAGGCTCGAGCATTGGCAGCTTGTCCCGGTACGCCAGCCAAGCCAAGGATGCCGAGGTGTCCAGCTGCTGAGACAACTTGGCCTCCTGGGAAAATGTCGAAGGAAGACTACGGCCGAGTACAACGAGTGATGAAGGCAGAGACCCACCCCCGCATGAATCTACCAAGTTCAACAGTACCTTCCGGCTGGCTGGCACGACGGCATACGAAACAACAGCTGAAACAACTTGAGGCCTGCATGTCAGTCCTGTGGGGACCTCGCATACCGGAAGATCTCCTCACGAGCCCTCCGATTGGAGTCGTCCGCAAATGCTGCCGCAGCTGCAGCTGGAGGCTCTTGTGGCACCTCAGACTCTGAGACGCGGTGAACCCTAAACATCCTGGCCAGCAGCGGTAAAACCCAGGTCCTTCCCTAATCCGCCGACCCCCCTGCCTGCAAGGGGAAGGCGTTGGGGGAGTGTTCGTTTAGCGTTGGAGCGTGACTGTGGCAGCCTTCTCCCTTCCCTTTCGCCCTCGCCCGTTCAGCCCTGTACCTTACCAGCCTTCTTTCTTTCACTTTTTTCTTGTTCTTCTTCGTTTCTTTTCTTTCCTTTTCCTTTCTGCTGCCGGCGCACTCCTTTGGTTGGTGCTCGCTGTAGACAAACGAGTGCGGCCTGGAAAAGCGCGGGAAGCGAAGCTTTTGTGGCTGGCCGCTCCCTCTGGACCGATAGCCTTGCTGCATATTGGACTCAAACGCGACGTTAGGCACCCGGCCGCGGCGGAGCAGGCTGCCGGCGCACTCCTTTGGTTCGTGCTCGCTGCGGCGAAGCGAGTGCGGCCTCCAAGCGCGCTGGACGCGAAGCTGTTCTTGCTGGTCGCGCCCTGGGGACCGATAGCTTTCTACTTTCTATATAGGATTCAAAAGTGACGTTCGGCACCCGGCCGCGGCGCACCAGCCGGTCTTGGCAAGACGCACAGCAAACCCAAAGGGATGAAAGACCAGGGAGAGGCAAACTGTGACAGACGCAGGCGCACATGGGCATGGACAGGCCGGGGATTGAACCCGGCCCCTCTCGCATGCTGAGCGGGTGTGATGCCACTACACCAACTGCCCCTGAGCTGAGCAGGCCGAGAGTGCTCAACTACCTGCTGCGCACAGCTTTCAGCGCTGAAGCTCTGTCACGGCCAGCCCGTTCGCAGCCTGCTCCGCCGCGGCCGGGTGCCTAACGTCGCGTTTGAGTCCAATATGCAGCAAGGCTATCGGTCCAGAGGGAGCGGCCAGCCACAAAAGCTTCGCTTCCCGCGCTTTTCCAGGCCGCACTCGTTTGTCCACAGCGAGCACCAGGTTTGCGCCCTGGGGTAGCTTTCTACTTTCTATACTTTCTATACTTTCTACTACTTCTATATAGGATTCAAAAGTGACGTTCGGCACCCGGCCGCGGCGCAGCAGCCGCCCTTGGCAAGACGCACAGCAAACCCAAAGCGAGAAAGACCAACGCAGGCGCACATGGGCATGGACAGGCTGGGGATTGAACCCGGCCCCTCTCGCATGCTGAGCGGGTGTGATGCCACTACACCAACTGGTCCTGAGCCGAGGCCGAGAGTGCTCAAGTACCTGCTGGGCACAGCTTTCCGCGCTGAAGCTCTGTCACGGCCAGCCCGTTCGGCCTCTTTTCTTCCTTTCTGCTGCCGGCGCACTCCTTTTGGTTGGTGCTCGCTGTGGGCAAACAAGTGCGGGCTTGCCCGTTCGGCCTCTTTTCTTCCTTTCTGCTGCCGGCGCACTCCTTTTGGTTGGTGCTCGCTGTGGACAAACGAGTGCGGCCTGGACCAGCGCGGGAAGCGAAGCTTTTGTGGCTGGCCGCTCCCTCTGGACCGATAGCCTTGCTGCATATTGAGCAGGCTGCCGGCGCACTCCTTTGGTTCGTGCCAGGGATAGGCAAACGGTGCCAGACGCAGGCGCACATGGCATGGACAGGCCGGGGATTGAACCCGGCCCCTCTCGCGTGCTGAGCGGGTGTGATGCCACTACACCAACTGCCCCTGAGCTGAGCAGGCCGAGAGTGCTCAACTACCTGCTGGGCACAGCTTTCAGCGCTGAAGCTCTGTCACGGCCAGCCCGTTCGCAGCCTGCTCCGCCGCGGCCGGGTGCCTAACGTCGCGTTTGAGTCCAATATGCAGCAAGGCTATCGGTCCAGAGGGAGCGGCCAGCCACAAAAGCGTCGCTTCCCGCGCTTTTCCAGGCCGCACTCGTTTCACCAACCAAAGGAGTGCGCCGGCAGCAGAAAGGAAAAGGAAAGAAACCAAAGGAGTGCGCCGGCAGCAGAAAGGAAGAAAAGAGGCCGAACGGGCGGGCCCGCACTCGTTTGCCCACAGCGAGAACCAACCAAAGGAGTGCGCCGGCAGCAGAAAGGAAGCAAAAAGGCCGGACGAGCGGGCCGTGACAGAGCTTCAGCGCTGAAAACTGTGCCCTGCAGGTGCTTGAGCGCTTTTCCAGGCCGCACTCGTTTGCCCACAGCGAGCACCAACCAAAGGAGCGCGCCGGCAGCAGATAGGAAGAAAAGAGGCCGCTGGACGCGAAGCTGTTCTTGCTGGTTTGCGCCCTGGGGACCGATAGCTTTCTACTTTCTATACTTTCTATACTTTCTACTAATACTATTTCTAACTAATACTATTTCTATATATAGGATTCAAAAGTGACGTTCGGCACCCGGCCGCGGCGCAGCAGCCGCCCTTGGCAAGACGCACAGCAAACCCTAAGCGAGAAAGACCAACGCAGGCGCACATGGGCATGGACAGGCCGGGGATTGAACCCGGCCCCTCTCGCGTGCTGAGCGGGTGTGATGCCACTACACCAACTGCCCCTGAGCTGAGGAGGCCGAGCGTGCTCAACTACCTGCTCGGCACAGCTTTTCGCGCTGAAGACCCACCCGCTCGGCCTTTTTTCTTCCTATCGGCTGCCGGCGCACTCCTTTGGTTGGCGCTCGCTGTGGGCAAACGAGTGCGGCCTGGAAAAGCGCTCCAGCACCTGCAGGGCACAGTTTTCAGCGCTGAAGCTTTGTCACGGCCCGCCCGTTCGGCCTCTTTTCTTCCTTTCTGCTGCCGGCGCACTCCTTTTGGTTGGTGCTCGCTGTGGACAAACGAGTGCGGCCTGGAAAAGCGCGGGAAGCGAAGCTTTTGTGGCTGGCCGCTCCCTCTGGACCGATAGCTTTGCTGCATATTGGACTCAAATGCGACGTTAGGCACTCGGCCGCGGCGGAGCAGGCTGCCGGCACACTCCTTTGGTTCGTGCTCGCTGCAGCGAAGCGAGTGCGGCCTCCAAGCGCGCTGGACGCGAAGCTGTTCTTGCTGGTTGCGCCCTGGGGACCGATAGCTGTCTACTTTCTATATAGCACTCCTTTGGTTGGTGCTCGCTGTGGGCAAACGAGTGCGGCCTGGAAAAGCGCTGAAAACAAGCAAACAAGCAAGCAAGCGAGCAAGCAAGCAAGCCAGCAAGCCTGAACCAGCCAAAAGCCGCTGACAGAACAAAAAAAACCTGGGCTGGCCCCCCAGCGGAGGGGTCGGCGGCACTGGGCGGCAGCCCTTAAATACTCGCTTTGCAGCCAAGCCAGAAGCAGCCTTTCCTTCTACGTGCAAGTGGCCAGGCGAGCCAAGGTGCACACAAGAGCCTGAAGTGTGCAGCAAGTCCCTGGTCCTGGATCCATCTGACACTCTCTGTCAGGCAAACCTCTTTTTGCGTGAGCAAGGGACTTTGAAACCGCCTAACACGTGCTGCTTTGCCGCCGGTGGACCCAGATTGAAGCTGCGTGTGGAGTCTGCACATGGATCACGCTGAACCTGTATGGACTTTGGCACACAAGCGTGGAGGTCCTGAAATACGGATCTGCAAGTCGCGTCCCAGGTCTCTCGGCGGGGCTGCCAAGACGGGCGTTGAATGCAATGCCTCAGTGCAAGAGCCCAGACTCTCCGCTCGGATTTGGCCGCCAAAACCTTCCAAAAGCTGCACAAAATCACAGCCTAAACCCTAGCTGTTAGAGTGATCAGTTGAATTGGCAGCTGTTCAATCCCCCAAAGACTTGCATTGCATTCGATTCCCCAATCTCTGCATGCATAACCCTGTTGAACACTTGCTCCGATCAAATCTGGATTTGTCTCAAAAAATAGGAGAACATCCAAACTGGTTGGTTTCCTTTTGGTTTCCCTACAAAACCAACCGACAGTGAAGCTTTCCCTTTAAACCCCAGAAAACATGCGCATTTGCCCCCCTCCACTTGGTTCACCGAGGTGCTCCTCCCAACTATGCCTCCACTGCAAGCATGGCCCCGGCTCCGCTGGCAGCTGCAAAACGTCCCTGCCCTCGTCGGCCCGGAGGGGAGCCTGGACATGAAGAATACACTCCAATCCTGATAAGTGCTCCGCCCTCCACTTTCCATCGGAAAGTGGAGGGCCATTCTGTTCAGGAGTCTCCCAACCCCCCTCGTGAGCTTCCATGATGGCTACGAGTTTGAATGTTGGAGGAGTATCTACACAAGTGCTGTGGTGCCGCGCAAGCGAATGGCCAGCGGGTCATGCAACTCTTCTCGTGAGCCTTCAACAAAGGCACTGCCGGCCTCAAAGCGCAAACCATCTTCAAACACATCCGCGGCCCCAGGGAGCTGCGCCCCCGCGACATCTGGCACGCTGAGGTCGGCCACCTCCTCCTTGCCGAAGCGCCAGCAGCTCGCCAGGCACGCCTCAGGAATGCAACAAGCGTGCGGTTCAACGCAATGCAGCGATGAAAGAAGCCCCATGTTTTTGTTTAAAAAATAGGGGGTTCTGAAGCCGAATTTCCGAGTCCGAAAGCGAACTGGAGACAAGCCTGCCTTGGCAATGGCTGGGGGGCACTGAAACCTTGGCATGGCGAGATGCGCAACGGAGCGGCACGCCAAGGCTCACATTCCAAGAATTCCAGAAAAACTTCTAAGCCTTCTCTAAGCCGAGCCGCCTGAGATGCCCTTCAACGGATGCAGCATTTGGGTCAGCAGGCCCTGACAAGCTGGTTGCTGGCATCCTTGGCAGGCCTTCCAAGCTCCATATGCTGGCAAGGGAGTCCACACCCAACTTCTGCATGTCCAGAGTTGCTACCTTTCCCTCCCCTTCCTGCCACACATCAGACAGCATCTTCTCTGGCACCCGGCTCAAATTCTCCTTTGAATGCTGCGCTGGTGCATCACCTCGGTGGCTCAGAAGCATGGAAATATCCTCTTTTTCTTCTTCAGGAAGACCCTCTGTCTGCGATGCAACTTTGCCTGTCAACTTGTGCAACTGGTGCGGGCTGGTATTGGGTGGTAAAGTTGGCGCCGGATCATCCTGGTTTAAGTCGCATGCTGCAGCTGGGGAAGTCATCTCGGCCCTTGTAGCATGGCTTGCAAAGCGTGCATCCGCTTCCAGCTGGCCATCATCCTGACGTGTCCTATGTGCAGCAAAGGCAGCCATCTGCTTGCCCATGGCAAAGCCTGGCATCAGTCCAACAGGTGGCAGCGCACCCTCGTCCCGCATTGAGTCGCATGCTGCAGCTGGGGCAGTCATCTGGGCGCTTGTAGCATGGCCTGCAAAGCGTTCATCCGCTTCCAGCTGGCCATCATCCTGACGTGTCCTATGTGCAGCAAAGGCAGCCATCTGCTTGCCCATGGCAAAGCCTGGCATCAGTCCAACAGGTGGCAGCGCACCCTCGTCCCGCATTGAGTCGCATGCTGCAGCTGGGGCAGTCATCTGGGCGCTTGTAGCATGGCCTGCAAAGCGTTCATCCGCTTCCAGCTGGCCATCATCCTGACGTGTCCTATGTGCAGCAAAGGCAGCCATCTGCTTGCCCATAGCAAAGCCTGGCATCAATCCATCAGGTGGCAGCGCGCCCTTGTCCCGCTTTGAGTCACATGCTGCAACTGCGTCAGTCACCCGCGCGCTGGTAGCATGGCCTGCAAAGCGTGCATCCGCTTCCAGCTGGCCATCATCCCGACGTTTCTCATGTGCAGCAAAGGCAGCCATCTGCTTGCCCATAGCAACTCCTGGCACCAATCCATCAGGTGGCAGCGCGCTCTTGTCCCGCTTTGAGTCACATGCTGCAGCTGCGGCAGTCATCTGGCCTGCAAAGCGTGCATCCGCTTCCAGCTGGCCATCATCCTGACGTGTCCTATGTGCAGCAAAGGCAGCCATCTGCTTGCCCATGGCAAAGCCTGGCATCAGTCCATCAGGTGGCAGCGCACCCTCGTCCCGCTTTGAGTCGCATGCTGCAGCTGGGGCAGTCAGCTGGGCGCTTGTAGCATGGCCTGCAAAGCGTTCATGGGCTTCCAGCTGGCCATCATCCTGACGCGTCCCATTTGCAGCAAAGGCAGCCGTCTGCTTGCCCCTAGCAAAGCCTGGCATCAATCCATCAGGTGGCAGCGCGCCCTTGTCCCGCTTTGAGTCACATGCTGCAACTGCGTCAGTCATGCGGGCGCTGGTAGCATGGCCTGCAAAGCGTGCATCCGCTTCCCGACGTTTCTCATGTGCAGCAAAGGCAGCCATCTGCTTGCCCATAGCAACTCCTGGCACCAATCCATCAGGTGGCAGCGCGCTCTTGTCCCGCTTTGAGTCACATGCTGCAGCTGCGGCAGTCATCTGGCCTGCAAAGCGTGCATCCGCTTCCAGCTGGCCATCATCCTGACGTGTCCTATGTGCAGCAAAGGCAGCCATCTGCTTGCCCATGGCAAAGCCTGGCATCAGTCCATCAGGTGGCAGCGCGCCCTTGTCCCGCTTTGAGTCGCATGCTGCAGCTGGGGCAGTCATCTGGGCGCTTGTAGCATGGCCTGCAAAGCGTTCATCCGCTTCCAGCTGGCCATCATCCTGACGCGTCCCATTTGCAGCAAAGGCAGCCATCTGCTTGCCCATAGCAACTCGTGGCACCAATCCATCAGGTGGCAGCGCGCTCTTGTCCCGCTTTGAGTCACATGCTGCAGCTGCGGCAGTCATCTGGCCTGCAAAGCGTGCATCCGCTTCCAGCTGGACATCATCCTGACGTGTCCTATGTGCAGCAAAGGCAGCCATCTGCTTGCCCATAGCAAAGCCTGGCATCAACTCATCAGGTGGCAGCGCGCCCTTGTCCCGCTTTGAGTCTGCTGCAGCTGGGGCAGTCATCTGGGCGCTTGTAGCATGGCCTGCAATGCCTGCGTCGGCTTGCCGCTGGGCATCAACCTGACGTGTCCCATGTGCAGCAACTGCAGGCATCTGCTTGCCCATGGCAAAGCCCAATCCATCAGGTGGCAGCCTGCCATCCTCCTGCTTTGAGTCGCATGCTGCAGCTGGGGTCATCTGGGCGCTTGTAGCATGCCCTGCAAAGCGTTCATCCGCTTCCAGCTGGCCATCATCCTGACGCGTCCCATTTGCAGCAATGGCAGCGATCTGCTTGCCCATGGCAAAGCCTGGCATCCTCCCATCAGGTGGCAGCGCGCCCTTGTCCCGCTTTGAGTCACATGCTGCAGCTGGGGCAGTCATCTGGGTGTTGGCAGCATGGCCTGCAAAGCCTGCGTCCACTTGCATCTTGCCAACAGTTCTCTGATTCTGAGTCGCAAATCCTGGAAGGAGCTCCTCAGGCGGCAGCTTGCAATCATCAGCCTGTGACCCGTTGGCTGCAGCCATGTCATTCATCCATGCACATTGCTCATCCATTTCTTTCATCTGAAGTCTTTCTTGCAATGACAGACTCTCCTGAATCCGAACTGCGTTTTCCGACAGCCATGCTAGGCTGTGGAGGTGTAGCTGCTCCATCACATCCGGACCCAGGAGCTGGTCTGCAGCCTGTAACTGCCAGGACTCCTTAATCGTCGGCCGCGCAAAGCTGTGCCTTGTCTTTGTCGCTTCCGGTGCTTCATTGTCGCTTCTTTGTCCCAAGTGCAATGCGAGATCCGGGAGATCAGCTTCCAACTCCATGGGGCAGCGCACGTGCATCAGGGCGGCCGCCAGTGGAGGAGCATCCCACAGCCAGTCCACCCGCGCCACGGGAAGGTCCTCAACGGGGCTGGGGCTGCCCGCCCCCGCGAGCGCATCGAGCGCATCCAGGGCATAGTAGTCCAACGCGAGGCTCTGCATGTCGCGTCAAGGCGCCGACGCCGACATCGCTACCCCCGCACGCCTTGAACCCAAATGGTGCAAAAGGCGAGCGGCACATCCACCAGCGGCTGCCTCAAACCGTCAAAGATGCGGGATGGAAACGCCTTTCATTCCCAAGTTTAACCAAAGCCCAAGAAATCTCGCAGGGCCCCGCGGGGCCTCCCCCTGCCTGCGAGCTGCAGCACCTTTCGGGTGTCGAGGTCCCAAGGCCTCCACCAGGGAAAGCACCAGCTGCCGCGCCTCAAAGACAAAAGCCCCAGCGTGCACTGAAGCTATAACTCCACAAATGTTCTGCAACAGCTGACCAAAAAAAAAAACGCACTCTCTCGATGCAAAATTTAAGATCTGATGGGAGCCAGATGGCCCTGCCGCCCTGCCTCATCTGAGCGCTTCTTCCGCAGCAACGAGAGCCCTGCCTCAAAGGCGTCGGCCTCAGAGGGCACAGCGGCCAGCGACCGGCCAAGGAGTGCTTGCTAAGTTCACAGAGAGACAAAGGGCCATTCACTTCAAGTATGCCAGATACAGCATGCCTAGCTATGGGTTCACTCGGATGCGTGGTTAATAATCATGCATAGTGTTCTGTTTGTGTAGTAATCTCTGCTGGTGCTACAGAATGCTTGCTCTCTTGCGCGTTTGCAAGGTTGCTCCCCTGATACTTTTGTTGCTTGCATGGCATGATAACGATGGCAAGAGGGGATGTAGATTCCTTTCCAGTAGTGACCTCTTCTGCTGCGGAAAGGCTTTCTGTACGCCCTACCCTGATTCAGAAACTCGCTGCACTGCCAGCCCGTACCTTCCAAGTGTTCTATGTCAAGGCTGTCACCTGTCCTGCTAAGTCGGGCAACAGATCTCAATCTCAGCCCTTGGCTTCACCGTGGGCCCAAAACACGGACACCGCATAGGCCTTCACGGATCAATGTTCTTAGAGCTCCACCCTCTAGCATGGAAGCGAGTCCGAGAGTCAAGGTCGGTAGCTCCAATTTGACGATTCCGGCCTGTACGACTTCCAAGTCTGTGGGAGCCGCCTCCCACGCAGCCTGGAGCCGGGCCCAGAGATACCAGTCGGCATGGATTTGACAAACACGCAAGCTTGACAGGCAACCCGCACCCTAAGCATTTGGAGAGTGTACTGTGTACTTCATGTCACCGCTGTCCACTGGTAGATGAAAAAAGGAAATTGAAATTGCACTCATGTCCGCATACGTTGGGCATCTCGCAGTATCTTGCCTTGAGTGTCTGTAGGTTCGTCTCACCTGCAAAGCAGCAAACATCGGCGGTGTGATCGAAACAGTTGGAAACGGTTGTGACGTTCGAGTGCTTGCTAAGAAAGAACAAACAAAAACAAAAAAACAAAACAAATCATGTCCCATGCCGCTCAACCCAAACCCTAAGCGAAAGCACTTGGCGAACGTCAGCACTGGGCACAAGTTTGCTTTCCAACACCGTTGCTTGACTCCGAAGCTGGCTCGCCAGTTCCTATACGTGAATCTGCCTAGCGTTCCATGCAGAGTCAAGTTGACCCGCCTAGCTCTCGCTGCTTCTGGTCGATCCAAAGCATGGCAACTGCCTGCTTGACCTGACAAGCACAAGCGATTCACTCAAGAACACTCAATTAGCAAATACTGCGGAAAAAGACAAGAAACCTCGCAGTTAAAAGGAAAAAAAAAAAAAGACAACCGCGGGTGCCAAAGCCCGGGCGAGGGAGAGCGGAGACCGGCCAAGCGGCCTCGGGCAGACCGCCCTGGCCAGCGCTCTGCAGCTGCTCCAGCAGCGCCTTCGCCTCTGGCTCCTGGCCACTGCGCTGCCTGGAGCAGTCCGGAAGGCCCCGGTTTGGGAAATGGCGTGGGTCGCAACCAATGGTACCTTTTTGGGGTAGGTGCACCACCCATTTTAGTCTATCTGAGTCACAATCAAAACCAGGTAGATGAAGGTTAGTAAGGGACGATCCCAACCATAAATAGCTGCGGCCGCCTTCTCAATTCTTTACATGGTTCTAGGTAGATCATTTTGACACCGGGTTTTGATTATGACTCAATTTAGTGGGATTGGGATGTTCACTGGGGGTTCGGGATTTTGACCCATGGACAAATGTGATCGGGAGGGACATCCGAATCATCCTTGCCAACTTACCCCACTCTCGTAGACAACATGCAACCCATCTGCGCGTGAAATTGCAGAGGACATGGACTCTTGAACTTTGGTGGACGTGATTTACACGAGATATCATGTCCACCCACCATGTTTTGGGGATGTTCTCCATTTAAAAACAAACTCGCAAGCAAGAACTGTAATATTTGAACTCACAAGCAAGAACTGTAATATTTGAGCCAACAGAAAGGACAACCTCTGAATTCAAAAAAAAACACGGTTTTCACCATCGGCCTCAGGAGGCATCTTGCTCTTCCCGCCAGAGCTCGTATTCTGGCGTCATTTGGCAGGTCGCTGCGGCTCAACACCTCCAATGAAATCAAACATCAGCTGCGATCACTTTGAAATATTGCTCACTAGCCCAGAACAGAGACACCGTCAGAATCTCTCTCAAGCAGGCGCGAGCTTGCGAAATCGGTTCCTTCAGCTTTCATGGGGACTGGGCAACTGTCAAGGGCGGCTCCATCTCGGCGATAAATGGGCCTGGCTGAAGGTCTGTTCCGCCGCAGCCGCGTCTGTCCACTCCAGCTCTTCAGCGTCGTTGAGTTGCTCTGTGGCCGCCTCTGCCAGGTCCACCTGAAGAACCCAATGGTTGGCAGGGACTCGTGGGATCACTCCCATGCAAACAGCAAAAATGGCGAGGAACCGCTGCAAGTCTCCAAACATCCGCTGACCCCTTCTTTGTTACACTGCTGGTGATGCTAGAGATAAAACAAATTCATCATGGTGATCATCATTGTCTTCTTCTTCTTCTTCGTCTTCTTCTTCTTCTTCTTCTTCTTCCTCTTCCTCTTCCTCTTCTTCTTCTTCTTCTTCTTCATCGTCATCGTCATCGTCATCCTCATCCTCATCATCATCATCATCATCATCATCATCATCATCATCATCATCATCATCATCATCATCATCATCATCATCATCATCATCATCATCATCATCATCATCATCATCCTATCGCCATCACCTTCACCATCACCATCATCGAAATCAGGGCCCGGTGGCATCCATGGTATGACTCTAGGATAAACCCTTTGATTAAGACGTGAGATGTCACCCACCAACAGTATGGTGATCACTATATTGTTATTGTTGTTATGTAAAAGTATTCACATATTAACTAATTCGTGCCTTTTTCAATCTGTGCATGTTTGATACCTATGCTTTACAACTATTGTCTTTTGTTAAGATTAAGGAGAATGGAAAGGTTGCGATAATATATGATTCCAATCATATCTCTGCTCCTTCATATCATTTATTTCTTTACCCTCACCTTGTCTTGATTTTTGATTGCATGTCTTGCTTTATCTGTTTCTATTTGTCTTCTGCTTTGTGTTTTTCTCTATCTTCTGTTCGGGCCCCAGGCAAAAGAAATGAAAGGCTACAGTTCGGGTTCGCAGGGCGGCGCTTGAGTAATGTCCGTTGTCCTTCCGCTTGCCCAGGCCTTGAGCCCAAGCATCTGCGCCACGTTCTCCACGAAGGCCGTTGCCGTAGGCGGAGACAGGTCTCTCTCCAAGCCAGCCACTACCTGCATGGGATGAAACAATGTGAGACTAAGAGCATTTCAAGTACGCCACATGCTTTAGTCAAAATTTGCGCGTAACTCAAGCTTCATCTGGCCTGCCCTTTGGCCATAAGCAGCACGGTGGGCGATGAAGTGATCTGAAGCGCTTGGCAGACCTGAGGCAAGACCTTGCAATCTAGGCGTATTAGCGGCAGCCGGCCCTGTGCGGCCTTTCTGAGGCCATCAAGCTTCTTGGCCACTGGGGCATCAAGCTCCCCCACGACCAGCAGGAAGGGGCTGGGGCTCTGCAGCACCTGCGCCGCGTTCTCCGGCGTCACCGCCAATTCCCCGCCCGAGCCGGCGCCCGCCGTGCCCGCCGCGCCCGCGCTCAGCGGCGCGCCCGTGGGGCTCACAAGCAGCGGTTGCGCTCCTGGAGCCTTGGCTGCGGCCGCCCGCAGCTGCCGGAGTGGCAGCGCGGACCGCAGACGCAACCAGGGAACCCTGACGCACCGCATGGTCGCATGGTGCTGAGCCAAGTGCCATTCACATCCCAGTCTGCCAATCCAATGGAAAAAAGAAGCCCTGCCCTCAGGCGTCATGTAGCAAACGACGGGCGCACGACCGCCTTTCTCTCGCCCAAGTCTGAACACAGCGCTCATCACGCTTGCACACCATTAAAGAAACAGCCGCTGGCTTCTCAAAACATTTTAGAACCAGGTGATCTTCATCTACTGGGCAAATTTAAGTGAAACTCCCTCGGAAAAAGGGCACTGGCCACGCGCTCACATTTTTGCAGAGCTGTTCCGCGCACAGCCCGTCCACGAGCAGTGCTGACCTAAGCTGACCGATGCAAACTCGGCAATGTCATGCGGATCAGAATGTCTGAGCCACCCCTGATTTAATCCCGTCCTCCCCTTACCGGCGTCATTGCATCCGCCAAGGCTGCCGGCAAAAGTGAATGTCACAGTCAGCCACGCCCATGATGCACGCAACTGACCTCACAAGGGTCTAAGACAGGAATAACAGGAAAAACTGCTGTGCACCACGAGAATATCATTGCATCATCAACAACACGATGCCGTGCTCACTTTGGGGCTTGGGCGGCAAGTTCATCATTTTGGGGTCGTCCTTCCATTTGGAGACCTCTGCTTCACAGACTCAGGCGAGTCTTTGATCAAAATGCATTGAGCTGAGCCGGCCGGACACAAACGTGCAGAGGTGCCAACGCTGCAGGACACAGCCCCTGAACCCTGAACTGGGGGCTAAGCGCCATTGAGAACGTTCATGACAAGCTGCTTCTTGCTCAGGCCTCGGATTTGTGGGATAATTGTGCGAAGCGCTATGGACACTCCGCAACAAGCAAAAGATGTCAATGCTCTGGCACCCCGCTGCCACACAGGCCCTTCAAGGTATAGGCAGATCCTGGGCGACAACAGCTTCAACTTCCAACATCCTGGGTGGTCAGCTGTGCGTGGCTATGCGCGTCTGTATGGCAAACTTCTGAGACGCGCGCCGATCTCGGTCTTGCACAAATCATTGACCTGCCTGTTACCCCAATCAATCCTTGGAGAACATACCACTGCATCACTCTGCGAAATGCCCTGCCAACGCAATCTGGGGTCCCGGCCCGAGCCTCGACCCACAGAAGTAACCTCGGCTTTCGTCTTGCCCAACCTGCTCGCATTGCTTTCCAATCTGGCCGAAGGGCGATCAGCTGGAATTCCGTTGATTAGCTTCTGCCCATTCTTGGCACACCTGACATCAGCCACGTACACTTCGCTTCTTTTGATTGCCAGGTGCCGCACGCTTTCTTAGAGTACGTCTGCATGTCCCCGCTCTTGCAAAACCTTGAGGTAGCAGAGGCAAATGCTGGTAGACATGGAAAACTAAGAAGCTAAGCCAGCGGGCGACACAAATTCCTCGTTCTCACTATTGGCATACTTCAACTGGCAATCAGAGACAGGATTGATCGACAAGGGCTTGATGGCATGAAAAGCCTCCTTCCGTTTTCCCTAAGACATGCCAGTGTGGCGTACCGCCGGATCAACTCATGCACGCTTGCCCACAAGGGGTCAGATGCATCCTGAATGCATGCTTTGGCTTAGCCGCAAGTACGCGAGCACAATGAAGCTTGACCTGTCCTTGTCTTTGCCAGAGTTGACCAGCTGAAGGACGGGCCTGCCCACCAGCGAAACAGCGCGATTGAAACCACGCACAAACCAAGGTCCCAGCCAAAGATCATTCGCGTCCTGGGACAGGTCAGCCCATGCCCAAGGAAAGCAACTCTGTGCGAAGAGGCTTTCTTTTGGCCATGTCCAGCCGACACGCCTCTGGCAGATCCGTCATGTTGGCTAGCAAATCACCTGACCTCAGCCCCCCCAAGCAATGTAAGGATCGTGCACTGCTTCTGACGGGCACTTGCACCAGTCACTTGCCCCACTTTTAGGCTGCAGCTCCTGCAAAGCCCCTCTGTGCCCATGGGCAAGCATACCTCAGGCCATGTCCGTGTCTGGAACTGATGCAGCCGATGCCCAAACCCCCAATCGATTCCGACGCTTTCAAGATCCCAGCTGTAAAGCTCCGCCGGCACCCTGGCCTTCACAAACGAAAAGGCCAATGCGGTCGTCAGTTGTATCTGCCGTACGCTCTCCTTTCACCGACATTTAGTTCCCTTCGGTTTGGCTGAGCCTGAAGAACACCCGCTGCGGTCAACCCGCGCGATTGCTGCAGGCCCGCCTCAGCAAGTGGTGAATGCAGTGCAACGCACAGCGCACGCTGCACGCTGTGCAATCAAGGTCGTGGCTTGGAGCAAGAGCGTCGAAGACGCAAGGGCTTCGTCCTACATCCAGACCCCACACATGGTAACAAGCAGAGGACAGCCCACCTCAAGCGCCAACTCGGAATCTGAGCATTGCGGTGCCTTCAATGCTGCTTTGTGGCACCGCAATAGTTCAAATCTTGCAATCCTAGTAAAACGAAGCACAACTCTGCCAGCCTCAGCTAAAATGGAAGCTGCCAAAATCAAGCCTGCAAAGCTGCAACAGGACATGTACATGTGTCCATCTTCGGTGTGATCCTGCCATGAATGCTCTGATTCATGGCCGGGACCATCTTGCTGCTTTTCCTCCCTGTCTACAGCTTTAAGCATGTTTATAGCCAGCCTGTCAGGGGAAAATATCTCAGCACAACCTCAACAGGCAGACAACGGGCAAACTGTCAGTATTTGACGACACGATTTGCATCCAATACTTCCCAAACAACGAACACCTAGAACCAAGAACGAATCACTGCCTTGCACTGCAGAGCTAAGTTGCACGCAGAAACAAAGGTCATGCTGATGTCAACGCTCGACCAGCCTGCAATCGGTCGAGTCAAGTCTGACAAGTCGACATCCTGGAAGTGCAAGCACAACACCGCAAACTGCATTGCCATTCGTGCCTGAGTTCGACTGTTTGCTATCGGTATGAGGAAAGGGTCTGCATCGAGAGTTTCCGATGCTATCACCGAAGTGGCATGAATTTGAGCCCAACGGTCCATGTGCCAAGCAAGTCGAATGGCATTAGCACATTGCATACACTAACATCGTATGCAGCCTTGGTAAACTTGCACATCGCTCATTTACTGAGCATTGCAATGTGGATTCGAGTTGCACGTTGAGAATGTTTGACCTAGCTGTCAAACCAGATCCAGCACGTTTGCAACATGTCATGTGAGGAGTCTTCTTCTTTTCTTTCTGCCTGCTCAACTGTGTCAATTTGTCACTCTGTTCATCTCGCAGCGTTCCTGATCACCCTAAACCCTAAAATAGTCTCTCTCTATGCTACCAAACCACACCTTGTTCTCAAACATTAAGCTGACCTCTTCATGAGTCAGTGCCAATCAAGCTGGTCCAACACTTTCAAACACATTCTCAAGGAAGGTGATGCCGTGATACCCCACGAGCCGGCCCCTGTCTTTTTCGACCCGCACGCTTGGTCCAGCGTCTGGCCTGGCCGAAAGCCACCTCGTAAACCGACTTTACGGCACGTTGCCAAGCTGACCGCTGCAAACATCAGAAGGATTGTTAGTTTTCCTTAGGATCAACAAACGGCTTTTTGCCAATTCAGTGGGATGATGAAGATGAGTTTTGCCTGCTCAAGCTTGAGCCTTTGGAAAGCTCGGCAAGAACGAAACAGTCAACTTGACGGTGGGTCTGGGATGGAATTCAGTTTGGCTCATAGTGCCTCTTTAAGGTTGGCTGATGGTGTGAAGAGGTGCTTTTGGTTTTTGGAATGGGTTCGGATTGCTTTTGCCTTTGTTTATTGCCGGCCGGCTTCGAGCTGAAATACTATCGGTTTGGATTGTAGCGTTGAATTAAAGCGCTTCGAACATGGGAGGTTGGGCTAGGATGGTTTCAGACATTAGATAGGGTGCGTCTGCTTAAGGTAGGTTTAGAAGACCTGCCGTCAAAGCCAACAAATAGTCCCAAAAATTCACGCAGAAACATAATTTCCACACTGCCCCAAAAACGACAGTCTGATCTTAGCAATGTCTGATCTTAGGCAGGAGCAAAAGCCCCTTGGACGACCAATCTGGATCCGCTCTCTTGACTTGCAGGCCTTGAACCGACGCGTTGCTCAAAAAGACGACGTACGGGCTCAGAAGCTTCGCCTGCACTTGCCGAAGCTCTCACGGCTAGCTTGCGCATCCTGGCTGCCTAACGCCCAATTCCACCACGGCAACCAAGGACAAATCGCTAGTGAGCTCGAGCACAGATTGGCAACTATTCATGACCGACATGGAGAGGAAATTATTCCTCGCACAGTTTGGGATCCTAAAAATGCAAGTAAACCCCTTTCTGACAAAAGCGGTAGCGAGCTAATTTGTGGGAAAGGCGTCTCACAGCCATCCGCACCTCCTCAAAGGCCAAGGCTGCCGCTGTTCCTGGCAGACTCTGCGCCCGCAAAAGCGAAAACAACAAAGCAACTAGCGCGAAACCAAAGGGGTTGAGATCATGTTCACAAGTCCCTCCAACTATGCTTCATCCATGAAGCTATGCGTATGATCCCTCTGCATCTATCAATTTCTGCTGCCAAGCTGCAGGGCTCCAGCCGTGCTGTCGAGGTCCCAGGAGCCCTGCCAAGCCATTCAATGTGCATTGTGGGAAATACAGTAAGACTCAGTAAGAGCGAGACGCAGTAGTTTGGCGTCTTGTTGACGTTTTGTCGATGGTCCAATCAGCTTACCCTCGACTCAATATACCCCTCCATCAAGAACCCATTGGAAATGGTCAACAGCCTTCCATACTCGGACGTATGCCAGACCTTGATGAATGCCTTTCAGCAGTGCCTTGTGCAACGTACCAATCAACCCTTTGCTGGCCGACTTCCCGGATGATACCAGCCTTACTTGCTTGCAGTTCTTGGTTCTCGTTGGGTTTGCGTTCTACGATCATCTCAACGGGGGTGGGATTGGCAGCAACGGCAGCAGTGGAAGAAAACGCAACAAGAACCTAAGGACACATAATCCAATTACAGCTACAATTGCTCGTGCTGATCTGAGCCACTGCCTATGTGCCAATCTCATTGTCAAGATGGGGTGCTTTTTCTGTTTTTGAAGGCTAACCTGTTCATCATCGGGTCTTCCAACATGACATTGCACGACTGGCCAAACCCCTTGACCTGCCTGGGGTCCCGCCCAGCCCTCCGGGAAGAGGGGGAAGAGCGGGCCCTTCACCACGAGGTTGTGGTGCACCATGCCTGCGAAGGCTCAAGGCTCAGTGCTTCACTCGCATTCCTCAAAGAAAGCTTGCAAGTCCTAGTAGGGTAGAGACTTGGCACTTCAATGGTAGGAGTGCCACAATGCATCTGCCACGCCTGCAAATGCCAGCATGGCAAGGCGGCCGTTGGAAAGCTCCTGCGATGGCACTGTGTTGCCATCGAACTGCAGCTGTTCGGTATCAAGAAGTTGTCTGGCAGCACAGTACTCACTTGCTTGCCATTTGCCACACGCGTCCTTTGTTGCCAGATCATCCGCCGCTGCCTTGTCACCGGGCAGGAAGCGCTTGCCGAAGTTCCTGGGTCCCACACAAGCATGGAAAGGAACACCCACTGCCGGCCTTCAGCCTCCGCACCTTTCCACTCCGCACAGAATGTATCCCCTGTCTGGCTTTTCTGCTTTGCAGCCCTGGAAGGTTCATGCCAGCCAAGTTGCAGATCGCCTGGCGCCCGCTTCGCGCCCTCGCCGTCGAACATGTCAAGCATGGTGAGCCTGGAGTGGCGAAAGCACGCGGCTCGGATGCTGCAACAGTCAACGCACGAACTCACTCCTCCACTGGTCAGGAGTTTGCAGCAAGCTTCAAATGCAAAATTTGTCAAGCAGTGCCACGAAATCATCACCTCCTTCCAGCTGCAACAGCTTGCAACTTTATTGCAGGTGTTGCATGGTGTCGCCATAATGACAAGGCACTTGCCATCATAGGCAGAGCTCTCGATGTACCCACATGCGAACAGCAGCAGCGCCGTGATGTTCGGGGGGGCAGTGTAGATGGCCTAATCTGAAGCCAATGTGGCAGGAGGAGGCAAAGAGACTTGCTGGTCCTCTTGCCTCTACTTCTGCTTGCTACCCATCCATCATGCATTCGCAAACAAAGGGCACTGCTTGTTTTTCCTAGTTGCTGGGTCCAGGCATTCCACATCATGCCACAGAATTATTCGCGCACAAGCCTGCCTTACAAGTAGAAACATTTCAAATATGAGTGCTGAAGCACAGAATGGTTGATACCCACCATGCTGCCTCCATTGGTCTGCTTGCTCTGAAAGCCTTCCAACAAGCACCTGGTCCCTGCATCTCATGGTCACTAAAGCAATCCAGCCGTCTGGCTCTTGAAAGCTATGTCTGAATCGCACGCCCGTCAGGCCAGGCCTGCAAAGCATCCTCTGCAGGGGTGAAGCCTGCGACAAATCTTGCAACGAGGATACATTGAAAAAGGCAGGATGGGGTGTGAGAGCCCCTGTGTGGTGAATGATGTTCAAAGGAAATGAAAGTTGAAGCACCCATTTGGAGGACTTCAACTCGTTTTGACGCCAGTTGACTTCAGGCACAGAACTTGGCGCCTGGGAACTGGATGTACTGCTCTGCCACAAAACCAACAGTCGCCAGCATGCACACACGGCCGTGCTTCAGCTCCGACTCACGCAGCCACTTCACCTGAGCACCAAGCCCACCCGACACAAAAAGGGCAACCACCAGAACAACTGATCATTATTAAGGGCGCGTGGGCTTCGCGCAATGTGCCGCCCAGGGCACGTCAAAGGTGTCGGAGAAGCCCAGGGGGTCGAACTCCGCATCACCGCCCGCCAGGCCCCCCAGGTTCTGCGGCTTTGGCCTTGGTCCGAGGCGTCAATGGATGTCTGCGCTGTGCAGGGTGAGGTAATCAACTCAATCGCTTGAAAAGAGAAGCAATGCGCAATAAAGCCAGTCATCAACATTCGCGGCATGTGCGATGCAAATGCAAGGTGAGCCTCCATTACCAAAAAAAAGCTGTGCTCAGTACCCTGTGAACTCCGCCATCCATGGCATTCGCAAGCTCAGTCTGGGCTCCCGTGCAGGAAGGGCAGGCTCTTGCTGCTAGAAGCATGGCATGCCTGCAAGTCCAAAGCGAGCACGCTTCTTTACAGAATCAGATCCTCGCAAACCTTCACAAACTAGCTCTAAAGGTTACGCTATTACACTCAATCTTCTCTCTGGCGGTTTCATCCTTATTCCCCGCCGTGCGGGAGACGCTGCGCGGCGCAGCGCCGCCGCAGAAGGTGGCAGGAGCCCGGACCTGCACAAGAACTTGGCAGCAGCTTGGCAGTCACAGAATCCAATGAACAGGGCTAGTGACTACTTGTCTTTGTCACCATGTGGTGCGCCGAAGTGAATGGCGAGTGGATGCGGGGGCGAGGAAACACGGCTAGAACGAGTATGCCCAAAAGCGGAGAACAGACACCACCTTTCACACGACTGCACGTCCCAAAGTGCTTCGCCTGCTTGTTGTCTGGCACTGCGTTGACCACCGCGTCAAAGAAAGGCCACTTCTCCTGTGGGATCCCACAATCCTAAAATCGTGTGCTCCTCCTCACGTGAAAAGCGTCTCCTGCGTCAGCACTGCCGTGGTGACGATGCCTGTTGACATAAATAAATGGGCCGGAAAGGCACGCAGGTCAGGTTTTGAAGGTCAAGGCACCTGTCTTTGTCAGCTGCAAGCGTTGCTTTCCCGCCCTACCAGGCACCTCCATACGCCAACATTGCCAGTCGGCCGTTCCTCAGCTCCTTCACCTGCAGGGCAGCAAGCTGAATACCATTTGGATTCAACATTGGTTCTAGCAGCCGCCTACAAACCCTGGCAACATGTGGGATTGTGATATTGTAGGGCCCAGTGTCCAGTTGCGGATGGTGGTCCTGAAACTAACTTGAACACTCAACGCTTTGAGACCTTCATCCTCAGCCCCTTGATCAAGCCCCCGCGGTGTCTTCCATAAGATCCATCCTTTACTTTGCAGTCTACCATCCCATCCCAAGTCTCGCCTGCATGTCATACTGGCCCTTTGCATCTTGGGGGTAGAAGCCCCGGAGCCCAAAGTCGCCCGGCTTGCGGTCCTTGGCTCGCGGCCGCGCAAACCGTTTGTGTGGCCCGAATGTCGTCTGTCTGAAATAAGGCTCCAACACAAGCAAAAAGCATCCAGCAGCTGTCCACAACAACCCCACATTCCAACGTGCACCCAAGCGGCCGTCTTGCCCTCAAACATGTTCACAATGGCCAGGAAGCCAAAGAGCTCTGCGTAGCCCATCCAGACCAGCATCCTTCGCGCGGCAAGGGTCCTCTAAGTGGTATCAAGAAAGTCTTCCGAGGAGGCATCATGATTCAAACATCTGGGCGAACCTAGCCCGCTCACCAAAAACTCAATCAACGTCTCTGCCCATGAGTTCTGGCCAAGGCACTGGGGCATGGAGCCGAACTTCACCATGGCGTCATGAGCCTCAACGGTGGAGATCTGGAAGGCCTCCCCGGGCACCCGCATGCCTGAGTGCAGGTGGATTTCTCTCTGCACCCCGCCCGGATGTTCATTTGACGACAGAAGCATGTGGGGAACCCTTTGAAGGAGCCCTTTAAAGACTGTAGAGCTGCAAAGAGGAATACTTGCGGCCTGCAAAACTCTCTTGCTCCCTCGCTTCCCTGCACACCTGGCGCGCCGCACTGAGCACTGAGACCCTGGCCCATGTCGGTGGCGATCCAGCCCACCGTGGCAAGCATGGCCACTCGGCCGTGCTTGAGCTCCGCCTCAATTGAATCGAACAACAAGCAAAAGAGGTTCGATCCAGGATCGAGTCACCAGCAACTGTGGCCCTTCGAAACATTGTGGGTCGCGAAAGCAATTTTTACTCTTGGTGGACCTTAACGCAAAGATCAAATGGCACCTCCGCGGCCCGCGAGCCTCGCGAAGCCACTTGATGTCGATGGCCAGGGAGAAGCCCATGGGGTCAAAGCCCTCCTCCTCGCCTGAGAAAAGCAGAGCTCATGCCAGCACCATGCTGCACCCACGGCCCGTCAGCACTCAAGAATAGTGTTTGCTCCTTGTTCCCTGAAGGCATCCAACCGTCCGTCAGACAACATCGAAGAGGAAGCCATTCCGAAACCCCTCTGCCCAAAGCTTGACAGTGGCCACTGCCCCGTCCAGGCCTGGCATGCCCTCAAGGGCTGGCGACATCGGCAGGAAGGGCACAGCCGCGCTCATCTTGTAGCCGCTCTCCGCCTGCCTGGAGATGCTACAAGCCCAACACAGCCCCAGACTATGTGCTGCCCAAAATCACCCACTGCAATTGATGTGCACTGCGCATTTCAATCGGGTACTAGGCCGCCTGCCTGGCAATCCTGCTGCGCCCTGCCAGCGTGCTGCGCTTCATGGACGCGCCGAAGCCACGGCTGGTCTCCTCGAGCTTTGTTTGCCCACGCGAGGTAGGGAGGTTTACAGTGTCAGAATTCGCTCCAAGAGAAGAAGCCAGCGGAAAAATTGCTTCTCCCTTCCGCGTACACACTCCAGCTGATTAGCATCAGCTGCCTCCCTATCTTTAATGCCTTTCCGGATCCGCACCTTCTCCGCATACAGCCACGGGAAGCCGTTTCCAGTGAGGGTGGCCTGTAGCGCGCTGCTAAGAACTACTTTCCATGATTGGCTGGCATAGCTTTCGCTTCAAAATGCTTCAAACTTGACCTGGGTTATCACCCGGCACTTGAGTGTGCATGCAACGCTGTGCAAATCGAAAGACATGTTCCACACGTCGAAATGCACCGCACCCACAAAGCAACACGGCCTGAGTGATGGCACCGCCGAACGCCAGCATGGCCAGGCGGCCGTTCTTCAGCTCTTTCAGCTTCATTTCCTGTCAGGCTTGCTGATGACTCGTTCCGCATTAACTCGTCCCACTTCAATTGCAACACAATCATGACCCTGACAGGACATGCCTGGGTCCTATTCACGCATCCTTATCCAGCACCCCCTAATACCCTCAATTTGCCGCTGTCGTTTAAAGGCAATCTCTACCTCCCCGCCCTGCTCACAGCTGCCTTGACCTTGGCTTCGTCCTGTGGCAGGAAGTTGGCACCCAGACGGTAATCGCCTGCGCTGACACCAGGGTTTTTCCCTAGACTTGCTGTGGCTTCAGCATGCTTGAAAAGTGTTGAAAATCAGCCTTGCCTACGATGAAACTGAGCCTGGTGTATAATTGGACAGGCTCGGGGATCTACGGCGAATCTTCTCTTGAGAAATCCGTAGGCCCGCCTGCGTTTGCCAGAGTCAGGCCCGGCTTGTTGGAGACGTTGGCAGTCTTGGCAAAGGTCGTCAGCATCTCAATGAGCCCACAGAAGGCGAAGACCTGTGGTGATCAGTGCCGAGGCTCGATCTTTGATGGACCAAAGCAACAACGCACGTGGCGTATCGCCTAAGCATTCTGACATGTCCACCCACGCAGCCTGGAAGAGGGGGCCCACCTGATGGCCGTCCTTTCCGTAGAAGTCCTCAAGGCTTCGAATGAATGAAACTCATCGCTGTCATGGGCAAGGGCACGAAAAGCAGCGTGCAAGGGAATTCAAACAAGCTGGAGTCTTCCCAACTTGGATGCAGCCAGGCAGCTGTTGCATCCAGGATGAAGGGGAAATATGGGTCTCCGGCGCAGGCGTTGTGGGCCTCCACCACAGTCTTGGCACCATAGCACTGCTCCGGGCCTGGACGAGCCGCAGACCCATCATTGGCTGAGTCGCTCAGGATACAAAGGTGATTGCTCAAGCAGAGTCAGGTGCATTTAGGAAACACCCGCATTGTTAGACACGAATCATTCAATGCCCGTGCAAAAAAAGCATGAGCGTGCAGTCACCTCACTTTCCAAGCACCCAGCCAGGGATGCGCACGAACTCCGGTGCCACGAGTCCAACCCAGGCGAGCATGGCGATGCGGCCATGCTTCAGCTCAGCCTCACGTAAAGAGATCAAGGCGGTGAAGCCTTTCATCGCAAATCCAGGGACTAAAGGAAATGGCAAACAATGGCGAATCCCAGGTTGCTGTCTCGTGACAGTGACAGCTCCCTTCGGAATGAAGTTTGCTTGGGTTGCTTGGTGGCACGCCAAACTCAAACACTGGGCATCAGGCCTCACGGAACCAGGGCAGGAACTTCTCGCACTTCGTAGCCAGGCCCAGCGGATCAAAGTTGAAGTCCTTGCCGCTCAATTGGAGAAGCTGCCAACACCGTTGTTCTGTGCAGCGGACAAACAGACTGGGCTCAGGTAGCGCTAGGTGTTATGAGAGCGCCTTGCTTTGTCATCGCTTGCAAGACGCTACAGGATCTCCGTGTGAGTTTGTTTCTCCGCATCTTGGTGCTCTTACAGCTTTCCTCCTGGACACGATTTGCCTAGCCGTGTCACTTAAGTACAGAAAAGTAATCCGCTACGAATTCTGTCACGATTTGTCCGTTGCTGCACCACCCTGCCTGGCCCGCAAAGGCGGACTCGCCCCCAATGAGGCCGCCAGCAAAGGGCTCCGCCTGTACCCATAAAATGCTGTTCGCCAAGCTCCAGCCAAAAGTCTCCCAAACTTGCGTGTCACCCCACGCCCTGGCAGAACGCGCGCCTCTGCCGCGCGCGGGACCAGGCCCCGCCCCCGCCGTGCCAAGGCCAGCGCGGCTGTGGCCACCGCGGTGGCTCCGAAGCTTGTGGCGCTGAACCCGGACGACGATGCCGACGCCGAGGTGCCGGAGGTGCCGGGGGCACCGCGCAGCGCAGGCGAAGGCGCCGAGGGCGCCAAGAAGGCCTGGCTCAAGTCAAACATCGAAACCACAAGCACGTCAAACGTTTGGCAAGATGCATGACCAGAAACCTGACCTGCTGCCAACATCCCCTAAACATGCCGCAAAGAATCAACACCCTGACAGAAACATGATGAATACCGGGGCACCGCACCTGCACTGCCGAGGAGCCAAGGTAGGCCGCAGCAGCGGCGCCCAATGCCATAGTGGAGGTGGACCTGCCCAAAGGTCAGCTTCCAATGCACTCAGTCACCACCTTTTTCATGCCGTACAATTCTGTTCTGAATCGCATCAAGAAGTGTTGAAGCCATCAAATTCACGTGTCACTTGGGAAGAAACCCCTGCTGATGGTCGGAATCAACATAATCAAGCAGAACTTAGTTCTGGTCATCGGACCAATGAGTTCGACCTGCTGTAAGCACATCGCCAAAAGAGTCACAATCAAACCGGTTATAAAAATGGTCGACCCAGAACCATGTAAAGAATTAAGAAGGCTGCCGCAACTATTTCTGGCTGGGACTGCCCCTTAGTAACCTTCATCTGCCCGGGTTTTGATTGTGGCTCAAAAGAATATTGCTCACCCAGGAAAAGCAAGACCCGTCGTCTGAGCCTGGATGCCATCTTCAATGGACCACTCACTGTTTTTTGCGGATGGGCGGGAGCTGAGCCGAAAGCTCCTGAATTGGAAACGCATCATGCCGTGGTGCTTGAGTGAACAAAAGGAGTGCATCTGGCAACGAACCGTGCATGGTCACGTTCTTAAGTGATGGCCGTGGGTCCTGAGACGTCCGAACACGCCAACGTTGCCTCAAACAATGCTCAAGTAACATGTGCATGCAAGCATGCACGTTCTTCTGAAACTCAAATAGCTGCTGTGTGTTCATGCTAAATCTTCTGTAACATGCAGGCTATGCCTGCATTCTTCTGAAACTTCTGTAACATGTGCACATGTTGTGCACATTCTTCTGAAAGAGATGTGTGTTCTGGAGCACAAATTAGTGTGTGCTTGCTGAGAATTGGTGCAACCTTCTGAAATAAGATGATAATGTGTGTAATCTGCTTGCATTTAGTTGAGAAGAAGTGCCAAGCACTTGTGTTTGTGTGCGTTGTGTGTTGAAAAATAAGCTGTAGGTGTGTGCATTTTGAGATAATGATGTGTGCAGTTGCATTGAGAATTAGGTGTAGGCTTCTAATGTTTTCACTTGTCATTGCAGCAAAGCTGCAAGCCCAAGCTCTTTTAGAATTGTGGTGTGATTATTATTCGTGTAACATGCAGAGCAGAGCTCTGCATTTTTCAGAAAAAGAGCATGATTAGGCCGAATAATTAGCCAAGTTGTGGAAATTTGGGTCCATGGACCCAGTTCTGGGTCCAGAATTCTGGAAAATACAGATGATGATTTGTTTTTGTTTTTCAAGTTATAACTCGAAGGTGGAGGTCGTGAAATTAGCCCGTTTTGGGAAGTGGGAGGTAGTTGTGGAAAAGACTGTAGAGGGATATTCGTGATTTGAGGCTAATATTGTGCAAGATTACTCACTGGAAAGTAGAATATATAATTGCACTTTTTTACAAATATAACGTGTCTGCAGCTCAATACAAATACCCATCATTGCCTTGCACTTAAGTCTGATGCACAACAAGCTTAATAAGATCATTCTTAAGTCTAACATGTCTCAATATGCCTTAAGAAAAAACACAACTCACCTATGATGGGACTGCTTTTATCTAACATGTGTTCTTACTGCTACAAACATTCCTATGAAACCATATCAACTAGAAGTGCACCTTCAAGTTTTGGCGAATCTACGTGAGGCTACCGGCTGTCTATGCAGCCTTTCAGGCTGCAAGACCAGCCTCTTTTTAAGCTCAAATAGAAAAGCTAATTGGGGCAAGCACATGCTGTTGTGTGAAACCCGAATTCCTCAATACTCAAATGCTGTGTTCCTGTTTCAGTTCAATGCTCAACACCCAAAGATGCTGATACTTCTTGTACCACGGGCTGCAAGCAGAATAGTTATTGTAATGATTGGTTAAAGGTCCCGCGCACTGCTCCTAGCCTCAAACCACAAAGAACCCAGAACCCAAAAGCCGACAGCAAGGCGCACACCTTTCTTACCGGGTTGCTTGGGAAGGTGGCACTTTCCTAGGGCACTGCGGTGCACCTAGGACAAGGGGCGAGATGTTCCCCCCCCTTGCGGAAAACAATGTTGCAAGACAAGCGTGTCCTTGCGTTAAAATGCCAAACGGGGGGCGTGGCATGCGTGCCCACGCCCGCATCAAAGGACCTGCGGGTCCAGAGACGCCAGCAGGGCCAGACCGCGGGTCTGGGCCCTGGTATGAAGCTGAGAGTGCGCTCCCAGTTCATGTCCGGAGGGCTCCAAGCTTGGAGGGCTGTCCGGTAGGCCTAAGCAAGCTTAGGGCTTAGAAGGGTTGGGTGGGTGGGTTTCCAACAAAACCAGGACTGCGAGTCCTAAACGTGAGTTTGAGGGCTAGGAGCACCAAACGGCGGCGGCGTAGGAGATTCACCCGAAAAGAAAACCCTTAGCGTTAAAGGTGCGCTGCCCTTCCCCCTGCCGATTTTGTGCCCGGCCGACGGCGTCGAGCCTGTGGAGGGCGTGCTGCCGGACCTGGGCTTCGTGGAGGGCTGCTGCGACGCGAGGCAGTCCTGCCTGAATTTGTTGCCGTACGTGGGGCCCGGCTGGTACCCGAAGGTCTCGCTGGCGGCGATGCTGGACCTGGGCGTCTGCCGCTGGGACCACATCGTGTCGAGCATCTCCGCGCGGAGGCACGTCGGCGACGCTGCGGCACGCGCTGGAGCGGATGGACGAGGCCTGGCCCGAGGGCGAGGAGCACATGGCCAAGCTCAGCGTGAACGCGATGATAGGCTTGTGGGCGCGCAGCACGGAGGTGGTCTACAGCGTGCGCAGCAGCAGCAGCGAGCTGGACGGGGCGGGCGCGGACTTCTCACAGGCCTTCGCCTACGAGGGGGGCATGGCGCGGGACTTCGTCTACGCCCGGAGGCTGCTGAGCAACGGCACCTACCGCCCCATCCACGACGCGGTCCTGGGCTTCGAGCACTGCATGGTGGCCAAGGCCCGGCGCAGCGGCTGCCGAAGCGCTTCACGGAGCGGCTGCGGGCGCTCGAGGCGCTGCGCCTAGAAGAGACGAAGCCCCTGCTCAGCAGCAAGGCGCCGCGCATGGAGGCCGAGCGCCCGGCTGAGAGGAGGAGGTGGAACGAGGTGGACGACCCTGTCAACCACTGCCTGGCGGGCAACTCACTGCTGCTCACGGGCCTGCCGGGCACCGGAAAGACGCACCTGGCCCGGACGATCGTTGCGAGGCGGTGCACCTGGTCTCGAAGATGCACTGCTCGGCGCAGAACCTGGGCCTGGGTGCGCAGGTACGTGCGCGGCGGCAGCGCGCAAAAGCTGGACTGGCTGGTCGTGGAGGAGATCACGCAGCTGGACATGGCGCTCTGGGCGGACCTGGCCTGCGTGGGGCTGAACCGCGAAGTTCTTGCTGCTGGGCGACTTCCGACAGCTTCCGGCCGTGCTGGACTCCTGGGCCAGGCGGCCCATCAGCGCACCGTTGGAGCACAGCCAACTAATCCGCAACCTGGCCGGCGGGCACCGGCACGAGCTCACGGAGAACATGCGCTCCGACCCCGGCATCTTCGACTTCGTGAAGTGGCTGCGGGTCGGCGAGGAGGGGTGCCCCACGCTGGAGCAGGCCAAGGCGAGGCTGAAGGAGCTCTACCCCTCGAAGCCCGGGTGGCCGGACACCACGCTGTTAAGGCATGTTGCACTGCTCCTAGCTTGAACCCAAACATGAAACCTCAAAAGAACAAAGCTCGTCCGAGGCGGCCGCAGTTCTTTTTACCGGGATTGCTGAAAGTTGCACTGCTTCCAGGGCACTAGTGCGCCTGGAGCAGGAGGCACATTGGCTTCCAGGGCACTAGTGCGCCTGGAGCAGGAGGCACATTTGACCCCCCGAAATGTGAAAAGGCAAGACAATGCGTGTCCTTGCATATAAATGCAGTGCTTGGGGGGCGCGGCATGCGTGCCCACGCCCCAAAGTCCGGAGACTCGAGGTCCGGAGACCGAAATTGGTTCGGAGACCTGGTCCGGAGACCAAAGTGCCCGGAGGCCACCCATGAAAGTGCAGAGAAACTGCAACCTATCCTTGCAAAGCCTGGCATAGGGCAGTGCAGGGCGGGTGGGTGGGTTTCAAGAAGGTTTGGGTCAAGGCTAGGAGCAAAACGGCCAACGCATAGTTCGATTCACCACATGCCCTAAACACAAGGGAAAAGAAACCCTAAGCGTTAAGGCATGTTGCACTGCTCCTAGCTTGAACCCAAACATGAAACCTCAACAGAACAAAGCTCGTCCGAGGCGGCCGCAGTTCTTTTTACCGGGATTGCTGAAAGTTGCACTGCTTCCAGGGCACTAGTGCGCCTGGAGCAGGAGGCACATTGACCCCCCCTTCAGTGTTTCAGGCAACCCCGGTAAAAGCGAACCCGCTGGGCCGAAGGCCTCATCACCCGCCCTTCAGAGTGGGGTTGTACCTGGCAGGGCAGATGCTAGCGTGACCATGCACGCTGGGCTGTGAGCAGCTTGTTATGCAGTGACTGCACTTTTTTCTGGTCAGAGCGGCTTGAGTAAGCGGCTGGCTGACGTTTGTTCTGGCTGACAGGGCAACGGCGGATTTTTGGTCGTGAGGCCATGTCGGATGCAAGTTAGGCTGGTGCAGCGGTGACGGAGGCTGCTGCCAAATGTTCCGGGCGCCAGGGCGCATGCATCGGACACAGTTGAATGCCTCGGCCTGACATCGCTAGGCTTGCAGGGCTGAAGCGTATGCGACTTTCAGGGCGATGGCTGAACCGGGCCAACCGACCTCTGCTGAGATCGTCAGCCCAACCATTGCACCTTCCTGGAACGTGCGTCGGCTGCAGCAGCACATTGTGAGCGTGAGCCCAGAAGGCTGGAGTTGCAACGGCCAGGAGGTCGTGAACAGTTTGTTAAGGCTTGCTTCCGTGGCGGAATTGTCTGTGCCTGAAGGCATGCTAAACGAGTAGTGCCCACCACCAATGTGGCTGTGGGTTGCTTGCAGCAGCGCTAACTGTGCCAGAGTTTCGAAGCATGCGATGTACCGCTGTCCTGGCTTGACAAGGCAAGGCCACACGGCTCTTATGTCTTGCATGTTCCAGG